GCTCCTCAGCTCACCATGTACCAACTTAACAGTGCAAGACAGGAAGACCAGTAAAAGATGGCATCAGAATTTATTCTAATGGATCAACATTTGATGGCTTCACATCTCCTTTCGATTCAAGTAGATGAAAGGCTGTTCAGCTAGACCAATCCAGAACATAGGAGAAACATCTGTACATCACTCCCAAAATGTGGGAGCTGGTTCTCTGTTGCAATAATATTTAGAAGCTTGGACTACAAAGTTTACCATTCATAAATGCTCATGGTCTAAATTTACTAGAACACACAGGCGTGAAAGTGGGCTGCATCACTCCAGAGGCCAGAACGAACAGGTCTGGGCTTACCAAAGTGGCCTCCTGCAGACACACACGTGCCCAGAGGCCTTTGACATTAGGTTCGTAAGAAGCATTCTGTTGATTGAAGAGGTTGTGGTGTGTCTGGATGGACGTTCCCAGAGGGTGCTGCTTGGAGAGTGTTTATCAGCCCCGTGGAGCCTTCAATGTGGGGTTCCACAGGGCTCAATTTTACCCCCTATATTGTCTAACATCTACATGAAATGGCTGAGTGGGGTTATCCAGAGGTTTGGAGTACGTTGTCAGCAATATGCTGATGATACACAGCTCTACTTCTCATTTACATCTGCAGGTGAGGCAGTGGATGTGCTGAACCAACAAACTGAAGTTCCATCCAGATAAGACTGAGGCAGTGTCAGTGGGCAGTTCCCTAAACCAGAGCCTGGGAGATTGCCTGCTCTTGATGGGGGTTCATTCCCTCTGAAGGAGCAGGTATGCAGCTTGAGGAAACTCCTGGATCCTTTGCTGTCACTTGACGCTTAGGTGGCCTCAGTGGCCCAGAGTGCCTTCCATCAGCTTCAGCTAGTGGCCAAGTTACGCCCCTATCTGGACAGGGGCAGCCTAACTACTGCTATCTACGCTCTGGTAACCTCTAGGTTAAATTACTGCAACGTGTTGTATGTGGGGCTGCCTCTGAAGATGGTTTTGAAACTTCAGCTAGTGCAGAATTCAGCAGCCAGGCTGCTCACCAGGGCAAGACGGCTTGAGCATATTACACTGATCCTGGTCCAACTGCATTGGCTACCAATTAGTTCCCGGGCTCAATTCAAAATGCTGGCTTTGGCCTATAAAGCCTTAAACAGCTCAGGACCACATTACTTCAAGGACCGCCTCTCTCCATATGAACCTACCAAGATCATTTTGATGCCTTTCTGCATTTGCCTCCTCCATGAGAAGTCTGAAAGGTAGCAATATGAGAATGGGCCTTCTCTGCAGTAACTCCCCATTTGTAGAATGCTCTCCCCAGGGAGGTTCAGCTGGCGCCTTCATTATACACTTTTATAGACACCAGGAGAAAATCTTCCTCTTTAACGAGGCGTTTGGCTAATTGACATCTGAAGCACTTTTAAATTTGTTGTGGAAGGAAGGGGGGATTCTTGGGTTGCCTTTGTATTATGTATTATTATTATTTGTATTATGTATTATGTATTATTATGTTTTATGTATTTTGTGCTCTTTCTTTTAGTAATTTTATGTTGTGAACTGCCCTGAGACCTGTGGATATAGGGCAGTATACACATTTAATAAATTGGCAGTTTTGTATTATATTTCATCTTACCACCATTTTAGGTTGTGTTTTTACTTGTTTGTAAGTTGCCTTTAAAGAGTTTTGTTCACAAAGGTGGCCTTCAATTTTCTAAAAATAAAAACAAATCATTCTAGAACAAAGCAAATGCACACCACACTTAAATACCTGTTTTCATACCATTCTTTTTTCCACCTCCCTTCCCTTTCTCCTTGTTTGACTATATCAAAACAAAGCATTTCCCCATATGCTGACAATTCAGCAGTCATAAATACCTAGAACACTGGTAACCTTCGGCTGATTCATATTATACAGCCTTTTAATATATGCTTGTGGGAAGTCAGGGTTATTGTTTTGCCATTTTGTTTTAATTATTTAGTTGTGTTTTTATCTTGTATTTTAATCTGTGAACTGCCCTGAGATCCTATGATGAGATCCTATGATATATGTGTGTGTGTGTGTGTGTACACGTGTACACACACACACAGAGGAAATGACTTCTACAGGGCTAAATTGAAAGACTGATGAGCTCTAATACCTTTCTACTCAAGTCCTGATTCTGTGATACAGTGCAATATTATGAAAATAGATTTACCTTCACCATTATTATTCATTTTGGTTTTGGAAATATTAAATCAAGAAATCAGACTGGCTCAATAAATAAATGGAATATCCCTAGGAGAGAAAATATACAAAATAAGGGCCTTTGCAGATGATTTAGTCTTAATGGTGGAAAACCCAAAGGAAAGCATAGCAAAGGCTCTAGAAAAAATGGGAAACTTTGGAAGGGTCTCAGGTTTTGCTTTGAATAAAGAAAAAATGAAAGTAATGGTAAAAAACATGGGAGATCAAGAGAAAAAGGAACTGGTAGAAAAATTTGGATTACAAATTGTAAAAAAAGTGAAATATTTAGGAATACAAATAACAATGAAAAACATAAATTTGTTTGAAGATAATTATTAAAAAAAAATGGGAAGAAACAAAAAGAGAAATGGAAACTTTGACAAGATTGAATTTAACACTCTGGGGGGGAATTTCGGCTATTAAAATGAATATTTTACCAAAACTCTTGTTCCTTTTTCAAATGATTCCCATAATAGGTAAAGATGATTGTTTTAAAAAATGGAAAATGGACCTAACAAAGTTTATATGGCAAGGCAAAAAGCCACGGATCAAACATAAATTATTAACCGACATAAAAGAGCGGGGAGGTTTCGGACTCCCAGACCTGAGACTATATCACGATGCGGCATGCTTTACTTGGATCAAGGATTGGATCAAATTGGATAACAGTGACATTTTGGACTTGGAGGATGGAACAACAGATATGGTTGGCATGCCTATCTAATTTATAACAAAGTGGCAGTACATAAAGAATTTCTAAACCACGTAATTAGAAATGCATTATACAAGGTCTGGGTGAGATACAGAAGGTTGTTAGAACCGAAAACCCCATAGTGGGTCTCACCGTTAGAAGTAATATCGGTTTAAAAAAAAAAATACTATAGGAAGAATGGCGACATACCAGCAGCTCCTAAAGGAAGAACAGGGCCAATTAAAATTAAGGCCGTATGAAGAGGTGACCCAATACTGTACTACATGGTTACAATATCACCAAATTGCACAAATATTTAATCAGGATAAAATAATAGGATTTGAAAAAGAGGAATCAAAATTACAAAAAGTATTATTACAAAACTCAAAAAAGAATATATCCAAAATGTTTAATTTATTATTAGAATGGGAATTAAAGGATGAAGAAGTAAAAGAAGTTATGTTTAAATGGGCACGTGATATAGGATATGTGATTCGGCTGGAACAATGGGAGAAATTATGGAAATATGATATTACGTTCACGGCATGTTATACAATAAGAGAAAATTTTATGAAAATGGTGTACCAATGGTACTTAACTCCGGTAAAATTGGCTAAAATTTACAAATTAAAATCGAATACCTGTTGGAGATGTAAAAAAGAAATAGGAACAATGTTTCACATGTGGTGGGAATGCCGACCTATTAAACAATTCTGGAACGAAATTTACGAAGAACTCAAAAAGATGTTTAAAATATCTTCCAGTAAAAAAACGGAGGCATTCCTTTTAGGTTTATTTACAAATGATACTCCCGAAAATCAAAGGAAAGTATTCCTTTATGCAACAACAGCTGCCAGGATGCTTATAGCAAAAAACTGGAAAGGGAGGAAAATTACATCAGTGAAAGATTGGCAAATTAAATTTTGTGAATACATAAATCTGGCAAGACTCACAGCATTCATAAGGGGACAATCGGACCAGAAATTATTAAAAGAATGGAGTTGTGCTAAAGAGTATATGAAAAACATTGTTCTGGAGTAAGTATATTGGTATGTAATGAATAATGCTTTACAGGGTTAAAGGAAAAAAAAAAAAGTACAAAGATGGAAGTAATCTAACCAGACACAACAATATAGTAAGAGTAAATTTTTTGAGGTCTTAGAACAAAGGAAGGAAGTCAATGTGTAAATGTACGTAATGATATGGGTTTTTTCTGTAGATGTGTGTTTTTTCGTTTTTGTTTAGTTTTGTTTTGTTTCCTTTGCTTTTTTTCTTTTTCTTTTCTGTTTTTTTTTTGTATGTTCCGTTTTGTTTGTTTGTATGGTATTATTTTGGATTCAATGTTTGTAACTGTTTGTAATGTTTGTAATTTTTGTTATGATTCTGCATTGAAAATAAATAAACAAAAATAAATAAATAAATAAATAAATAGATTTACTTCTTCTCAACTGCAGCATATTGGTGTTTGAGTGGAGCCTCTTACATCATTTCTTCTTCAGTGATACCTGTTGTTAAGGGCTCTGCCACTCCACAGCTTAAAATTATTGTAATTAATTAGGATCAGAGTACAAGTTACTGCAGGAGTATGCATGCATGTTTACTCATTAGTAATTCCCAATGAGCATGGGGATTCCCCGCAACGGGGTGAGCTCCTGTTGCTTGGTCCCAGCTCCTCCCAACCAACAGTTTGAAAGCACGTCAAAGCGCAAGTAGATAAATAGGTACTGCTCCGGCGGGAAGGTAAATGGCACTTCCGTGCGCTGCTCTGGTTCAACATGCTGGCCACATGACCCGGAAGCTGTACGCCGGCTCCCTCGGCCAGTAAAGCGAGATGAGCGTCACAACCCGAGTCATCCGCGACTGGACCTAATGGTCAGGGGTCCCTTTACCTTTACCTAATATCTCTTTCTAAGCAATCAGTCTGCACAGAGGGCTTAACAGTTTGAGCAATAAAGAAAGGAAGGAAGGAAGGCGACCACATGCCAGTTTTTGTTTTTCAAATTTATTAGAACACTATGAACATTTTTAGAAAGAAAGATAAAAATCAAATGTTATCATGGAATTTAAGCATGCAAAGTTAATTTCTCTTATCTTCCACATCCAAATGTTTGATTCCAAGTATCATACAATTCAAGATCTTTGGAGGACACACTGGGGCGCACAGTTTTTAAAGCATTGTCAAAATCTTGAAAAACTATAGATCGTACTTGCTCAGGTGCAATGGTTGTAATATCAATAGACTGAAGGCTGCGGATAGGGCCTAGAGAAGCCTCTCTACAAAGCTGAGTCATATCAGCTCCAGAAAACCCATCTGATTTTTTAACAATGAGATCAATTTCCTCCTCCGTTAGGGAGCAATTTTCCTTTGACATCAGACAAGTCACTATCTGCTTTCTAGCAGAAGTGTCAGGAAGTGGGATGTACAATCTCTTCACCAGTCTCCTTCTGGCAGCCTCATCAATTTCTTGCGGCCGGTTGGTTGCTCCCACAACTAATATGCGGTCTTCAGAAGAGGTCGTTGCTCCATCTAACTGGACCAAGAATTCAGTTTTTATTCTTCTAGAAGACTCGTGTTCCCCATCTGCGCGCTGGGACAGGAGAGAATCAATTTCATCAATGAAGATTACTGCTGGCTGCTGGAATCGTGCAACAGCAAACAATGCGCGGACCATCTTTTCTCCCTCACCTACCCACTTGGAGGTCAATGAAGAGGCACTGATGCTAAAAAATGTAGCCCCAGACTGACATGCAATACATTTGCCAATGAGCGTCTTCCCTGTCCCAGGAGGACCAAACAGAAGAATTCCTTTTGGAGGACTCCTTAAACCAGTGAAAATGTCAGGTCTCAACATAGGCCACACTATTATCTCCTTGATAGTTGCTTTTGCGAATTCGACCCCAGCAATGTCATCCCAATTCACTGGAGGCCCATGATCCATGATCTCTTGCATAATAAGTTCAATCATTTTTGGCTCTATATTCTTTAGCCGTTCATCCGTTGGACAAGTCACCTCTGTAGACCCGTAAGATTTGCACTGCGTCCCTGTGTTTTCATTCCCGTCTTGTTTTGGTGTTGGAGGGACAAACTTTCCGAATACACCCCGAGATCTTGAAAGACCCAAAGTCTTTTTTGTGCTGCTGCTAGATGGGAATGGTGTACGCTCTGATTGGTGCTGGTGCTTCTTCTGCTGGTCCACCCAGAGCTGTTCTTTCGCAGTTTTGAAACCAGATGCTTTGTTCTCGTTGTTTTTGCTTCCACTCCATGCAAAGGTCTTCCCTTCTGTATTAACTGGCTTATTAAGAATGAAACCAGAAGATGTAGTGCTACTTTCTTCATTTGACACAAGAAATGCTTTCCTTTTCCCCAGGTTGCCCATCTCTGAAGGGAAAGCAGACTGAGTGGAAGATGAAGAATTCTGCTTCAAACCAAAGTTACTCACGAGTGTCGGAGAACTACTAAACACTGATTCACCATCTCTAAACAATGGAGTCACACAAGAGGTAATGTCAGACACTTCACTTATAGGCACCGGCAAAAAAGAATGTGCAGCTCTGGCCTTGGCTGAGGAAAGCATACCAAACTGATGAGGTTTCGAAGCTGGGGCTCTGCCAAGGATATGTAGCTCCTGACTTGTACAGTCTGATGAGCCATCCCTATGTACAGATTTGCCATCACCACTGCAGTGAGTGAGTTTAGGAAGACCTGAAGCAACAGAGGCGGTGGCTTCCTTGTCACTCCGAAGCATTTCACTATTCTGCATCATCTCTTGCACACACTTCAGTTCCATCACATTAGCTGTCGTCAAAGCAGACTGCCACTTGTCATTTTCATTTTGCTGACTTCTTGCCAGTGTCAAAATGTTTTCCGCACAGTTATTCAAGCCAATCTCTGGATTGTCAGAGTCAAGAATCGCAGAGTATTTGTCTGCATATTTTTTGAATAGGTTGGCAGCGCAAACTTGGGAAATCTCAGAGTTTGCCCATGCATACTGAATGCGTAAAATCTGTGCACGATATGCATCTGCCTTCTGTCCTGGTGTGGAGGTGTCAGAGGTATAAGCAAAGTGATTCATCTGCCACTCACTCAGGTGTATATCATCACTGGGGCTACTGGGCTGCATGCTCTACAGAGAAATAGGACAAAAAATAAGGTGATGAGAAAGAGAAAGTTACCTTTTAACATAAGCTCTAGCTAAAGAAGGCAGCCAAACAACTGTACTTTATTAACTCGTTACCCTTTATTTGAGCATTCTGAGGTATCTGACAAATATTTTACACAGCCAGGAAAACAATCTCACAGCTCTTGATTTTAAATGTTATTCTATGGTCTGAACACTTAGCAAGGGCACAAATCCATGTGACAATCAAATCTCCTGTGGCTCGCTGCATCCGTTTCTGTACATATAGAAATATCTTTCCTACAGGTAACCTTGATGGCCCCTGCCCGTTCTGGTGCTTAAATTATCTCTTAGGACAAACGAAGCTGCAAAAGCTATGTTTAGACCACACAGTCACCTGGCACTGCCAATTTATTCACAAAAACGCACATCTGGAGCCATTTACAGCTACTGGACATAGCCAAGGCCAGAAAGTGACCTGGCAAGTACTTTCCCAATAATACCAATACAGTGGTACCTTGGTTCACAACCATAATCCGTTTCGGAGGTCCGTCTGTAAACCAAAACAGGTCGTAACCCAAGGCACGATTTCGCCAATGGGGCCTCCAAAAAAAATGTGTCGTAATCAAAAAAAAAAATTGCAAATTGGGACGCGCATTTCTGGGTTTGAACTGGTCGTAATCCAAAATGGTTGTAAACTAGCTGTTCGCAAACCGAGGTACCACTGTATGGTGAATATGGGACCTCTGTGCGAGTCCCTGTCAGCTTCACAGACCAGCAGGGACTGAAGCATCTTATGCATCAGGATTGTACAGGAAGCAGTGGCACAGGAATATTACTTGAAATCTGCATCTTGAAACTGGCAGGGCAGACCTTGAGAGACATATTGTTTCTAGCTGCCTGTTAAGAGATAATTGAATCACTATTCTTAAACTGTGCATGAACCAATTCCTTAGTTATTCTTTAATTTCTTGTTCTGAGTACATTATAACCTCATATTAGAAACTATTGTTTCTATTAACTACTGTGTTGCACTATCGTTACTCATGTTTTGATGCTCAGTGATATTTTTTTAAGGTCAGCATGTCAGTGGTGATGTAGCCCATACCTTCTTCTTAGCTACGGATCACCAAGGGGCAGCCCCAGGATCCTTCAGAGCCAAACCTTAAGTCACTAAAATGGGGCAAAGCAACAACAAAGAATGCTTTGAGTCTGCAGTGTATGCATGTGGATCAGGGGTTGTCCACCTGGTCCCTACCGGCCACTAGGGGGCGTTTCAGGATTCTAGGTGGGCAGTAGGGGGTTCCAAGACACAAGCTGAATCCTCCTTCCATCGAGCGCTGGGGGGCGGTAAGGAAATTTGACCATCAAGAAAAATGCATTAGTGGGTGGTAGGTATTAAAAGGTTGACTACCCCGATTTAGATACAGTAGTAACTTCTCCAGCAAAGCAGCCAATGCAGGAACCTGAACAGAAAGGATATGCTTTTGTTATGCCATCACTGTGTCAACTGTATTGTTTGGGATGGCAGTAGCAAGCCTGAAGACCAGCCAAGTGACTTACGGGTGTGGATGAGCTAAGGCAGCATCCTGACACTTGCAAACAGTTCCGAGTGGTGATAGGAATGCCACTGCTATTCAGAACATGCAGATGCAGACATTTTCCTGGCTGCACCCAAAATACACACTAAGGACAAAGAGCACTCATTAAAATTTTAATTCATAAAATGAAAGCTATAGGATTAATTATAGCTATTTAAAGGGAGTGGATGGGATTCTGGAGAGCTAGCCTTGTGGAGTTTGCACAAAATGACTTTTCTAGCTTTAAGCACCAAGTAGTCGGCTTTTCTGATAGCCAAATTCTCTAGGATTGCTTAGTTCCTTCCTTGCTCAATAGCAGTTCCTTTACACAGCTGCTACTAGACAAGAGGTATCTTTGCAGTTTTGCTTTATGGACAATTGATCAATGATTATTATACAATGCATATGTACCGGAATACTTCCTTTCCTGTCTTTCCAGAGATGGATACATACTTGTATTATTCTCAAGAATATACAGTGGTGCCCCGCAAGACGAATGCCTCGCAAGACGAAAAACTCGCTAGACGAAAGAGTTTTCCGTTTTTTGAGTCGTTCCACAAGACGAATTTCCCTATGGGCTTGCTTCGCAAGACGAAACGTCTTGCGAGTTCTTGCGAGTTTGTTTCCTTTTTCTTAAAGCCGCTAAGCCGCTAATAGCCATGCTTCGCAAGACGAAAAAACCGCAAGACGAAGAGACTCGCGGAACGGATTAATTTCGTCTTGCAAGGCACCACTGTATGTGTAATTCTGCAGATCAGGCCAGATAGCAAAGCTATACGTTTTGTTTTCCTTTATTTTGACAACTGTTACTGTTATTTCAAACTTAATGAATAATGATTTTGAAAAGCAGCCAGATGATGATATCCAATAAAAAGTGAATATTATTTCATTCAAGAAAAATAAATAACTTTCCAGAAATTATTAGTCTCTCTAGTGCAACACATGTGTAACTTTATCCTATGTATTCTTGTGGTTTTATGCTGTAAACCACCCTGTGGTTCTTGGATGAAGGACGGTATATAAATTTAATAAATAAAGATAATACAAATAATCATCATTTGCTCTGGGCATTCCACCTCTATCTTCAATTAAGATTCTGCTTTGAGGGTAGCCAAGGGTGCTAACAGGATTTTCTAAACCCCTCCATCCTCCCGGCCCCCTGCAATCTAGTGGCAGGAATGGCTGCTTAGGTACATATGTTAACTTAGCCTCGCCTACCTCACAGGGCTGTTGTTATTGCTATTAATTTGGCATGCCTGGATGAAATAATGTGGACACAGAGAAAAGCACATACCCCAGTATCTTCCTCTGTCCAGCCAGGCTAACAGCAGCCATGAGGGACATATCCTGTTTTCTGCTGCTCTGGGAGGCCCCCCCCCCCCCAGTCTCAGGTGCAGCAGGCAACCTTTGCTCCTGAGCAACAGTGATTAAGTGACCTTACACCTGCTGAGTGCTAAAGGCTTAGCTAGCTCTGTGCTCTTTCTTCGGAAATGTCCAAATGACAAAGAGAAAGAAAGAAAGAGGAGCATCTGGGGCCCCTGCTGGCTTGGGGCCTGGTATCTGTGTACCCCCACTGGAAGCAATATCACATTTTCCAAGCACGACATGCACCTGGGGGGCAGAGCGCCGATTCTTCTTTTATATAGCTTGGTTAAGTTATGAAATGGGTGGGTGCAAACGATACAGGTCTTCACTAGTTAAGAGATTGGGGATCTGCGGCTCACCAGCTGCATTGAATACAACTCCCACCATTGCTGATCATGGACCGTGTTGGCTGGGCTGATGGAGTGTGAATTCAACGCAACCTGAGGAGCCACACACTCCCCAGCCCCACTCTAGACATAATGGCAATAAATAACACGGCTGTACCTGTACAACTGAGAGAGTTGTCACGCTGTACAAAACTTTGCTTTACATTATCAGGATAACAAAGAGCACCTATTTGATGCAGATTAATTCCCCCTGAACACAATCCATAGGGTTAAAAAGTGTTTCCCCTCACCTTTTCAAATTGGCAGTGTGAGTTTTTAAGCTGCTGCAAATATAGTGAATGCAAATATACAGTCAGTTGGTAGTGTTTACGTTTGCTTGCTCCCTCCTTCCATTCTTGGGGCACTGCAATTGTTTATGCAACCCCTAATCTCAAAATGAAAGAAGAGGGGAACCAAGAGCTACACATTAGTCAAAGGTGCACTTAGATTAACCCCACGCTCAAAGTTAACTCACCAAGAACTGAAAGCAAGATGAATGGCTCCAAAAGAGCGCAAGGAAAGAGGCACTTTTCAGACACTTAGCAATTTTGTGGAACTCTCCCTCCCTCGTAGGTGCTTGCCTCTTGCTTTTCAGCAGTGCCAGGTTGAGAAAGTACTGTTCTCCCAGGCTTTTTTTAAACATTAGCACCACTGAATGCTGTTATTAATTTGTTTGTCTCCATTTTATTTGAGATAGCTTCGCCTTCTGATAACTGACAATGGTTGCTATTGTATTTTATTCCCTGTGCTGGTTATGGATTTTGTTCTGGTATTTTAGCCTTTTAAAACTTCAACATTTCCTGTATATCACCAAGAGAGCAGAGTTATGGGGCAAGAAATAAATGCAATAGTTCATTTAGTTATGCATCAGAAGTTTTACTTAAAAACTAGCAAACAAAAAGGTTTATTTAACTAACTTTGCACACAATAAAATACAATTAAATGGAAGGTAGCGTCTCCTAGAAGGAAAAATATAAGAACTCCTAATCCCTTTGACATTAGACAACTGCAATGTGGCACCGTGATAAAGAAGGAAAACATGCTTTTCAACTATTATCTGATAAAATCAGGAAGACTAAACAGTAATGAATTGACATGAATTGCTTTTAATAAGATGCTCCCTGATAAGCGAATTAAAACACCTTTGAGAAGTCAAAAGTATCTTGCATTTTTTATTTGTTCATCACCACAATCTGCAACTGAAGAAAGAACCCAAACATTTCAGCTCAACGTGTTAGCTTTTAAGACCAAGTGAATAATCATAACACAAAACACAGTACGTTTAATATAACCAGAGACTGACGGTTTGGAGCTACAATAGTGCCACCTGCTGGACAAATGTGAGGTGGACGTTCCTTACAAACCCCACATTTTGATTTAGGGTCTGTTTCTTCACACATGCTTCCCAACCTCACTCCAAGGACCTCAGGGTTAGACTGGAACAACTATTGACCAGTCACAAACACCCCGTGGGGGGGGGGGGGATATGGACAGCTTGCTTAGGCTACATAAATAAATAAATAAGCCAGCAAGCATGTATGGACCAGCTTGAAGATTTCCTATTTACTGAGTACTTCAGATGAACCAAACTGACTGCTGTACTGACACCGCAGGGAAGCTGTGCAAGTGTACTTTGTCTAAGGTTGAGAGAACACCAGCAAAAATACTTTGAATCTGGATATGAGCCCCTTCCTCATAATTTTATGATTACCAACAGCTCTGTATCATGAACATTAGCCATTTGCTTAAACTAAGTAATAGTTTATGATAATGATAATATATATTATAAAAATGATATAAAGCGCTTTGTTGTAAAGACTGCACTGTATAGCCAAGCATAGACTAAGGCAAATTTCCAACTCCAGTAACCAGAGGCTTACACTTTGTTTCAGAGTAAACAATCGTGTTAAATTAATATGACAAACTCAAGCTGTAGGATTTTTTTTGCATGTTGCATTCACAAACTAATTCCCCAGCCCAATCCATTATGTCTCATGATGACCTACATCACCCCCCACCCAAAAAACCCACTGAGGTTGCATGCATGGATTTCTTGGATAACTAACTAGGCTGAACAGATGCACTATTACAATAACATCACATTTTCAAACCTAGAAACAGAAACCTGCCTACATAACATTTTAATAAACTACTCTATGGCGAACTGACAAACCACTACTGGATTCTGCGCATCCAGTCCAGGAGCAGCCTGCATTTTATTATCCATTTTATTTACAAACATGTTTGCATCACACTGTTTGCAATCTCAGCAGGTTAACGCATGCTTAGAAAAGGAATAGTCTCTCTCACCCACATCCAAGCACAGGTTGTCTACCCACATTCTGATTGTCTTAGTCTTGATGGTGTGTGAGAGAGAGAAAGAGAGAAGAGAAAGCTCCCCCCACCAAGTACCCACCTTCAGTCTCCCCCAGCCCCCAAATCAAGTTAAGGAGCAAATAAGGACATCTGGGACAGTAAGCCAGGGCTGCCACCACCACACAGTTCTCCAAAGCTGGTTTGATGTCAGTTAAGTCATCCATGTTTGTGCTATTTGCATGTGGTACACAACAGGTTACTATATGGAGAGGGTGGATACATGTTAGGCTGGTTGGATGGTTAGATTGGCCTCCAGGCGCTTCCTATGTGCCCCCCAGTGCAGCCTCTGGTCCCATCTCACCTCCACTCTGCACTTGAGCACATTCTGCAGTCCAAGGCAATTAGCCACCGGTCACCCTACTCCCCAGCACGTATGAGGACCAAGACTAATTTTGCCAGAGGTTGTCGCTCATGTGCTTCAGCTACTCAATTTCAAGCATCAAGCAAAGAAACAAAGGGGACTGAGCAGCTCAGGTGCAGAAAAAGAGGACTCTGCCAAAGCATCTGTTGCTGTTCACACTCAAAGGGAAGCAGGGAGCAAGGTGAAAAAGCCTTTTGACTGCGGCTTGGCTCATCTCTCCTTTCAACCATTTACCCATTTTAAACTCTGATCACTGTTAAATATGACACCACACAGCACTTTGCTTGCATAGCACTTTAAGCAATGACTTCAAAGGCACATCCCAGGAAGCTTGTCCACCAGGGTACTGTAATGGTTCAGAGTGTCCCTGCACCAATATAATTCCAAGAAATGAAAGGATGAATACTGTAACTGCTGGATTGCAAAATGATTAACTAACATGCATTATGGGATTCAATAATTGGGACTAAACAAAAAAAAAAACTTGAAGCCCACAATGTTTAAAGATGTCACAGCCAGAATTCCAAGCCCCTAATAACAGGAATTAAAAGTTAATGCCGTACTCTTGTATCAGTATTATCAGCTATCTCCCCCATCAATCATTTAAAAGCCAAACCAGCAACACACCATCTAGGCTATCAGGTGAGGAAAGCTATCCAGTGACCCTCCCTACCCCGCCCCCCCAATCTTTCTCCTGCGTACAACAGATTGTATTCGTAAGTCCCTTTGGTCCACAGGCAGATGTTCAGTGCAGTTCAATGAGTATGGCTGCATTAGTATTCCCACAAGCATGTTTGCCCTTTCGTGCCTATGGATTAAAGTGCTATTTAAAAGCTGCCCATGTTCCTTTTAATGAATATTCACGGGTAGACTACAGCCTCTGGCAAAGTGGGAGTGCCATACATAAATCCAGCCGCTTTCTCTCACACACACCCAAAGAAAACCTTTAAAAAGGGGGGGGGGCTACAAAGCATGGCATTTCCACAACAAAGACAGAAGTGAGGACAAGGAATTGTCTCCAGGGAATACACTACAATTGGATCTGCAAAAGCTCACAAGAAATCCAGCTGCACTATTGAAGCATGCAGACCCATAGCAACAGCGGCTAGCTAACCGCTCAGGCACCCAGGGTGGCGCAAGTGCCCTGAGCTCGGGGGCAAGGGGCAAGCTGCACGGAGTCTCCCTGCAGCCTCCCCCTCAGCTATAGGGCGGCCGAGCCTGGGGGAGACGGCGGGTGGATGCAAGCCCCACGCTGTTTCCAGCAGCACAGAGCCTGCAGGCAATCCGCCCAACTCCTCCCCCAGGCTCGGCTGCCCTACTGCTGAGGGGGAGGCAGTGGGCAGACGCAAGCCCCACACTGTCATTTCAGGAAGCATGGAGCCTGCAGGCGCCTGAGCCACTGCGTCACTTCCAGGAGAAACGCCTGGCCCAGCAGTAAGTGCCGCCCCCTGTGGTGTGGCACCCAGTGCCCCCCACCACGCCACTGCATCACAACCATAATACTATATGCCCTCTGATCCCTCACATCAGCTCTATGGAGCCACAGGACAAAAGTGCATTGACACACAGTTTGCTTTAATTGAAAAATTAGTACTAGATTAGATTCCAGAGCACAGGATGGTCTGAGTCCTTGCTTCCTTCTGCACAGTCCTCTGTAAGCAATTGCTGATATAATAATCCAAGAAATGCCAAAAGAAAAAAAAGGATGTTGGCTTAGGATATTTTGGCTATTGAACTACTTTTAACCAGCTTTCATAATTACTGGAGAATGAAATTTAAAAAAAAATACTTGGCAATTCAAACTGCATAAACAATACACTGAAACGCTGGTCTTAAGCTGCTGGGCTGGGATGTAGTACTGGGTCACAGTGTTAGAAACTCAGATACAGAAGCTAATCGCCAAATGGCACGTTAAACCTAGGTCACAGTCACCCCAACGGAATGCCTAGGCACCTTTTTTGCAGGGGGATTGATTGATTATATTTCTATACTGCTTTTTTAAAAAAAATATCTCAAAGCAGTTTACAACACATGAAAACATCAAATAAAACAAAGTAAAGCATCAAGGAAAATATTTCAGATTCTTCTCTAAGTGACATTTTGTTTTTCCCATATTTATTTACCTACTTACATAGCTGCCCTATAACAGAAGAACTAGAAGCCTAGACAGCATCTTAAAAAGTAGAGACATCACCTTGCCAACGAAGGTCCGTATAGTAAAAGCTATGGTTTTCCCAGTAGTGATGTAGTGATGTATGGAAGTGAGAGCTGGACCATAAAGAAGGCTGATCGCCGAAGAATTGATGATTTTCAATTATGGTGCTGGAGGAGACTCTTGAGAGTCCCATGGACTGCAAGAAGATCAAACCGATCCATTCTTAAGGAAATCAGCCCTGAGTGCTCACTGGAAGGACAGATCGTGAAGCTGAGGCTCCAATACTTTGGCCACCTCATGAGAAGAGAAGACTCCCTGGAAAAGACCCTGATGCTGGGAAAGATGGAGGGCACAAGGAGAAGGGGACGACAGAGGACGAGATGGTTGGATAGTGTTCTCAAAGCTACCAGCATGAGTTTGACCAAACTGCGGGAGGCAGTGGAAGACAGAAGTGCCTGGTGTGCTCTGGTCCAGGGAGTCACGAAGAGTCGGACACGACTAAACGACTAAACAACAACAACAGAAGAACTCTAGGAAGCCAGTGTGGTACTGTGGTTGGAGTGTTGGACTAGGACCCAGGTGTTCAGGGTTCAGATCCCCACTCAGTCGTAAAGCTCACTGGGTGACTTTGAGCCAGTCACAGTCTCTTAACCTACCTCAGAGGGTCATTGTAGGGATTAAATGAGAAGGGCGGGGGTGAACCATGTACTCCTTGGAGGAAAAGGTGGGATATAAATGCAATAAATAAGCTCTTTTGCTTCCCTGCTTAAGACACCTGGAGGGGCAGGCCAGAGGGAGATGTCCCGTCGCCAGCCTGGCATCCAGAGATCTCCATGGGGCTGCAAAACACGCCTGGGGAATTTCTAACACTTCCTGATCGAAAATGGTTCAAAAAATCTATCTCCATCTTTCAGCAATGCCAGTTGCAGAAACCTGAAGGTATACAAGATGGGTGACACCTGGCTTGAGAGCAGTACATGTGAAAAGGATCTAGGAGTCTTGGTTGACCACAAACTTGACATGAGCCAACAGTGTGACGCGGCAGCTCAAAAAGCCAATGCAATTCTGGGCTGCATCAATAGGAGTATAGCATCTAGATCAAGGGAAGTAATAGTGCCATTGTATTGTATTCTGCTCTGGTCAGACCTCACCTGGAATGCTGTGTCCAGTTCTGGGCACCACAGTTCAAGAAGGACACTGACAAACTGGAACGTGTCCAGAGGAGGGCAACCAAAATGGTCAAAGGCCTGGAAACAATGCCTTATGAGGAACGGCTAAGGAAGCTGGGCATGTTTAGCCTGGAGAAGAGGAGGTTAAGGGGTGATATGATAGCCATGTTCAAATATATAAAAGGATGTCACATAGAGGAGGGAGAAAGGTTGTTTTCTGCTGCTCCAGAGAAGCGGACACGGAGCAATGGATCCAAACTACAAGAAAGAAGATTCCACCTAAACATTAGGAAGAACTTCCTGACAGTAAGAGCTGTTGGACAGTGGAATTTGCTGCCAAGGAGTGTGGTGGAGTCTCCTTCTTTGGAGGTCTTTAAGCAGAGGCTTGACAACCATATGTCAGGAGTGCTCTGATGGTGTTTCCTGCTTGGCAGGGGGTTGGACTCGATGGCCCTTGTGGTCTCTTCCAACTCTATGATTCTATGATTCTATGTATTTTGAGCTTGGGAATAAGGGTGTTCAACCTCCTTAGAAATGAAACTATTTTGAAATGTCCTTTAAGTGCTTTCAAAGTCTCCCAATGGAAAGTGGCATTTTCATCAGCTAGCAGTGCACATTTTACATTTGTAGCTCAAAACAATATAGGTTTTGTTTCTTCTTGCAATGGCACATCTGTACATTGCTAGTAGGAAGTTGCCTCATGTTTATGATTATTCCACGTGGCCTTTTCATCAGAGGAGGCTACTGTTCCAAAAACAACCATTAAATCACCACTTTGAGAGTCCCAAGGGCTATAACTCATTTACTAGGTGAACTGCTTTCTCCCGCTCCCTGGTCATCCTTTGGCCAGAAGGATCCCCTTCTGACAGATGAACGACCAGCTAGAACTGCTTTTTGAATGTGTATGTGATTTTATACTAATTTATTTTGTTCTGAGCTTTTAAATTTTGTAACTGGTGTTTTTATCTTGTTACTAGTCACTGACTATAATAAAACGACTATACTCTACTCTCGCTCCCTCTCTTTTAAAGCTACAAATCAGAACACAGTCCTTTTCAATGCTTCACCCACTTTACGAACTATAAGCCCCGCAGGTTGTTGCTACAAGATTTTTCAGAAATAAAGCTCCCCTTGTCAACTACAGCAACCTACCCCTGCTGGTTAATCACAAACCAAAATTGGAACAATTATAGAATTATACACACATAGATTATTTTAACTCTCTTTCTCTCCAGTATTATCTTTGGGATGAAAAATGAAACCATTTGCACCAGTTTTTAGTACTAGAAACTACTTATTCAGAAAGCATGCCCTCCTAAAAGGGTTGCAATCCAGAAAAAGTGGATGCTTAAATCCCACTGGTTCCTTCAGGGTGTTTTACAGGACTAACAGCTAATCAGTAGATGGATAGACTAAAACTTTGGATGCTTCATTGCTAGGGTACAACTTTTATTGTGAGGATAAAATTAGTAGGTGTGAAAGAAACCAACAAAGTAATGCTGAAAATCTGTTTAATTACTCAATAGACAAATAATGTAAAAAAAAAGTTGATTTATCTGTTGACAGTGCTATTATACAACTTTCTGAAGATTATTAATAGTAGTTATTAAATTTGTATACTGCCCTTCATCCAAAAGATCACAGGGTGGTTCACAACATAAAGACAAAATGAGAACACAAAATATATTATAAAACAGAAACAAACCAATAATCCCCCTCCCAGAAATACATTTAAAAGGCCATAAAATGTTCAATCTATAACCTGGTTATAGAAAAACATTTTTGCCTGGCGCCTAAAGATATGTAATGAAAGGACCAGACGAGCCTAGAGAGGGAAGAGGAATCCTCAAACAGTGTGTCACCCCAGAAAAGGTACATTCTCATGTTTCCAACCTCCAGACCTCTTGTGGAAGTGGCACACAAAGAAGGGCCATAGATGGTGATCACAGGGTCATGGGCACAGGTGGGGGGGGCAGCTGGCCCCCTAAATCAAGTAAATAAATAAGAATACTTAACTGAAGTAGAAACAATAAGAATATTTGAAACTGAAATGCTCGCTGACGTCACTTGGATGATGCTGTTGGGCATTCTAGTGATGCAACTGGCAACCCGACTGAGCGTGGCTTTTGGCTCTACACCCCCTTATGTTGGAGAAGACCAGGCTTCCTCAGACTCAGCCCTCCAGATGTTTTGAGAATACAGTTCCCATCATCCCTGACCACTGGTCCTGCTAGCTAGGGATCATGGGAGTTGTAGGCCAAAAACATCTGGAGGGCCGAGGTTGAGGAAGCCTGGAGAAGAACATTCAAGACTTCAAGATGAAAGACAAGCAGTTCTCAAGTTTTTATAAGTTGCAAGACTCTGAAGCTGAACTATGGTATACCATGTGGAAGGAGAAGAAACTCAGCAAAGAGCAGTTAAAAGAGCTGAACGTAGCAGACCTAGTAAAAGAGGCGCAAATCTTTTACCAGGCCACAATAAAAGCTCTACTCATCTCTCTTGCTCAGCCAGGCACCACTTGTACCATAGCATTCAGCACCTTGTGGAGAGTAAAGACCTGGTTAAGGTTGACAATGACAGGGGAGCATCTCAATGGGCTTTGCTTACTGAGAGTGCACAGAAAAACTGCATTGGGGAAAAAGGAGGGATTTGAGAAGGAAGTGCTGAAAAGATTTTCAGCAAGTCCAAGAAAACTTGCTTTAGTTTTGATTTTTTAAAAATATGAAAAGGGCACGTTCTTTGTAATTTTGCAAAATATACCCGTTAATTGCATGAAATGTACTTCCTGATGTTATTTTTTTATTTAACTTCCTAATTCTCAAATGACTGAAGATTCTGACAGATTTTTCTGAATTTTGTTGCTGTTTAGTCGTTTAGTCGTGTCCGACTCTTCGTGACCCCATGAACCAGAGCACACCAGGCACTTCTGTCCTCCACTGCCTCCTGCAGTTTGATCAAACTCATGCTGGTAGCTTCAAGAACACCATCCAACCATCTCATCCTCTGTCATCCCCTTTTCCTTGTGCCCTCCATCTTTCCCAACATCAGGGTCTTTTCCAGGGTGTCTTCTCTTCTCATGAGGTGGCCAAAGTATTGGAGCCTCAGCTTCACGATCTGTCCTTCCAGTGAGCACTCAGGGCTGATTTCCTTAAGAATGGATCGGTTTGATCTTCTTGCAGTCCATGGGACTCTCAAGAGTCTCCTCCAGCACCATAGTTCAAAAGCATCAATTCTTCGGCGATCAGCCTTCTTTATGGTCCAGCTCTCACTTCCATACATCACTACTGGATTTTTTCTTCTGAATACTTGGGCTCAAAAGAAAGTACAGTGGTACCTCTGGTTGCGAATGGGATCCATTCCGGAGCCCCGTTCGCAACATGAGCAGAATGCAACCCGCGTATGCGCGTGCGCGGGTCGCTGCTTCTGCGTATGCCGTCATTTTGAGCGTCTGCGCATGCGTGAGCGGTGAAACCTGGAAGTAACCCTTTCCGGTACTTCCGGGTCGCCGCGGGACGCAACCTGAAAAGACGTAACCTGAACCAAACGTAACAAGAGGTATGACTGTAATTTAAAACAACTGTGGTTGAAACATTTCATTCCGAATCTGCTAGTCAGAGCCAGACAGAGGATGATGACAGGTGGGTGTCCTGCCTGCCCCCAACGTAAATCATGACTATGCCCAAGTACAGGGTCCTGATCGGTTCATGTGGAGGTATTGCAGTCTTGAGCCATTTCAGGTTTTATAGGTCAAAACCAGAACTTTGAATTGAGTCTGGAAACTGACCAGCAGCCAGAGCAGTAGGGCCAGGATCGGTGATATATGCTTAAACCATCTTGCCCCACTGACCAACCTGGCCACCGAATTCTGCACCAGCTCAAGTTTCTGAACCGTCTTCAGAGGAAGCCCCACAAATAACACACAGCATATATTTCTCCCAGTCAAGCAAAGGTGATCCTTGTGTGGAAAAAGATTTCCACATATGGATCTTGACTGACTTTCACATAACCTTCAAGGGGTAATGATCTATTTCATTCAGCACCCAAGAGTGCAAATGCAGGAAAACGAACATTTCACACTGCTTTATAGCATCACATCATTAGTCTACCAAGCCTTTATTCGGAATAACAAGGGCTCTTCAAGTCTTTGCTAGCCCTCCTATCTGTGACGACAGGTTATTGAACCTGATACATTATGTGTGTGAAGTCTGCGCTCTAGCACTCTGCACACCCAGATAAAGGCCACCACAAACACAAAAGCCAAAATTATATAAATAGCAGGGTGGATAAAAATTAATGTGTTTTCATGTGTTTTCTAAAACTCAGTCTACGTTGCTTTTTTAAAAACCGTTTAATCACATCAGTTAACAAACATGGATACATATGCTATAATGTTATTGTTTTAGTTAAATAAATTGTTTAAACTGTTATTAAGGAAATGATTATTTTTCTCCTTCCAATAAAGTACAGCAGAAAAGTTGTCCAAATATAAACAGTTAACTTATTAAACCTCACAATAATTTCATAATTATCTGTCTATGTATTTCTAATAGTATAACCAAATCAGCCATTTTTGATATAACTGTAAAAACTACTCTGAAAATTTATTATTCCAAAAATGAAACCTTCATCTGGTTGCAAATATTAAGATTATACCAGCAAGAATGAGTCTTGCTGTAAAAAAATGATTTAAATCAAGTCTTACTGACCAGTGATTTAAATCAAGCCCACACTGGCCACAGTCCACAGAACATATTGGAAATCCCTTATGGCAGCCACTGGCTTCTAAGGCCTATCCGTCCTTTATATTTTGTACCTGGCAAGCCTGATCTCAAGCTCTCCACTTCTAAGCTGCAAGTGGTACAAGGGGGACCTACAGTTTCAGCTCATCATCCTTCACTTGTGTGTAAAACTGAGTGAACAAGCAAACTGTAAGCTGGACACTGCTGAAATCAACACACCTGCATCTACAGGAATTTGGTCTGAGATCTGCCTAGTGTGGCACAGTGGCAGCGTTCTTCTCTGCCCTTCCCCACCTCACTGCCATGGGCCTATTGCAGATGAAGGGAAATGTATTTTCCATAACCACAGAGGAAATGTAAACATTCTGTTTGGTTGCAATGAAGTATGGAAAAAGGGAGTACTGTACAAGAGAGGAAAATTCAAGTCTGTTTTAGTCTATTCCATGCCTTCTCTACCGCTACAAAATTTACAGATCCCTTCCCCCCCCCAATCTAATACACATACATATATACTATTTATTTTATAGTTTTATCTGTCTATTTTTTTGCTCTCTATGCATATTTATGCGTGGCTTTCAAATATTAATTGTTGTAATAGAAACATCTTGCATAAAAGAATTTGATAATGCACAACATTGCTTTCACTAACCAAGGATTGATGGCCTCTGTAGTGACTGGAATTTGACATTTTAGAGAACTAGTGGGCCAAATACTCTAGAAAGTGCTTGTACCAGAACCTCTTTTGAACACTTCTGGCTTTGGCAAATAAACTGAGAACTTCAACAGCCTTTAGCATAGCTCCTCTTAAAAGCAGATACGCACAAATGACTGTGCCTAACCCAAGAATCCAATATTGCAATTTTAGGAGACGGCTTGTAGAGAGCAAATCAGCATGTTGCAATTGGGGTGGGGGGAAAGGAAGCCAAGCTCATTGTTGGGAAGGAATCAACAACAAGGCAACCCCACCAGCAATCCCTTGTTCAGTGGGTTCTCACTGTATGGAATAAATTGGAGAGAAATGAGAGAGGGCCTAATACATGTATATGTATAGTGCCTCCACCTACCAGCCTCATAATCCATGAAAACAGGGGTGGGGCTTTTTTCTGCTGAGGGCCACATGCCCTCAGGGGTAATCTGTTAGGGGCCACATGTTGTGTTGTGAGACAGAGAAAACCATACTGGATTAACTAATCTGAAATAAAGACCACCTTGCTTTGTGTTTCGCCATGGTCAGCTCCGATAAGAATACTATGCAGGGCTACTCAGAAGCCCAACTGAGGCTCCTAGAAGTTGTCAGCACGCGACACCAGTCACACTCAGGAATGGCTTTGACTGGCTGGCTAAACCAAGTGAGGGTTCCTGATGGGTCTCAAACTCTCAGTGAGTTAAGGATGGAAGTGTGACGTTAACATATGAGAGTGCTGGAGGTGAAATAGTTAAACAGGTTACTCAATCAGAACCCAGGGGGGTGGAGTCAGAGGGACTATAAAACCAGCTCCAGGAGGGGTGAAGGGAAGAGTTTGTAGGGAGTTGGGTGGTTGGTTGGAGTGGGAGTGAATTGGGATAGAGTCTGTGGGGAGGTTGAGTCAGTGTAGCGAAATAAGCTGAGTCAGGAACAGTTAGGAGCTAGGAAGAGAAGTAAATATCTGAGAGGTGGTTTAGTGAGTGAGAGCAGGTAGCGGAAGTTATAGGTCTGGATAGGCAACCCATGATTGTAATTGACTGATACCGTTTATGAAACCACACACTTGTTAAACTGCAATAAATAGAAGTTTATATTCCAATTTAACCCTGACTGGACTCAGTATTTTACCTGCTAGGGCCTGGGTGCTGGCAGCAGGAAATAAAATAGTGGCACAGGGATCAACAGATGGTGAACCGTCCGGGGACCCTGTGTGATCGCCACAGGAAGCATGCAAAGACTGGCTCCAGCAGATTGAGTGGGCAAGACCAATAGTGGATCCAATGGTCAAGAAGGCGGTTTCTGTGTGTGCTGTAGAAGGAAGTGAGGGACAGATGGGGCTTGTCCACCTGGGAAGGTAGCCAACTGGGGAGAAGCAAAACTCTGATCCTAAACCACTGCTGCCTTGCAGAAGATCTCTGGGAGAAGAAAAGGCAAAGAAATAAACCCTGTACGAATTTGGAGTGGAGTCCCTAAGACAGTTGGATGGTGCTTTGTATTCTCCTTCTGGAAACTCCTGCAGAGAAGCTGGTGCCAAACATATTGCTCCGCTTTCATTTGGACCACATCAGCGAGGCCAAGAAAAGGGGTTTTGTCATCTGAGCAGCTCCATACCCACTGCTCAGGCCTGCACTCTGAGGAGGTCACTTTGGCAGCAAAAATAACATGGGAGGCAGCAGTTACAAGCTGTGACTCTCCAGTGGTTTGGCTTCACCCCCAGAGGCACACCCCATTGTCTCTTGAAACCAAGGAAGCCTAATTTCCATAGGCAGAGCTAGCTGCTCCAGCACTCTGTGTACCCAGGGGCGGGGCTGGCCGTGGAGGGGGGGAGGTCAAGCATCCGGGAGGGGTCCCAGGGGGACAGCACAGCGATGTCAAACCCGCCCCCACCCCCACCCAGGGATGACACCTGGGGTGGGCCACACCTACTGCACAGTGCTAATTGCTACCCTGACTTATCCATTAAACTCACGCCTCACAACTGTGGACTTCTTGCAGTGTGCTCCTTTACAGGATTTACTCAAACTTAATCCTACCAATCTTATAGGGCTTACTCCCTAGTAAGCATGTTTAGTTTTGCAATCTGAGGCTGGAAGGCAATTTCTGCTTACCTGGGAGCAAGCCCCATCCTCAGTTACTTCTGAGTAAACCTGTATAGGATTCTGCCTAGACTAAAAATGCCCTTCAACATATACAACTGGGAATGACATATATACACAGAAGGGCGTTTTTTTAGTTTAGGCAGAATCCTATACAGGTAAGTCTGTGCATGCGAGTGTGCTCTCTCGCTCTGTGTGTGTGTTTTATATATATATATATATATATATATATATATATATATATATATATATATGTCCAGCAGCACCTTAGAGACCAACTAAGTTTGTTCTTGGTATAAGCTTTCCTGTGCATGCACACTTCTTCAGATACACATACACACACACTGAATGGCATTTTTAGTTTATGAAGAACTCTATGCAGGTTTACTCAGAAGTAAGTGAAGATGGGGCTTGCTCCCGGGTAAGTATGTATGTATATGAGTCGTGTGTGAGAGATTAACGGCATTTAGTTCCAAGTGGCGGCCCAGCAAAGCTCGCCCAGCAGAATGGAAGCACATCCGAGTTTACAAATATACTGTGAAGCGCCGCGCGACACCAAGGGCGGTGTACTAATTAAATATAAATACTACACGTCCAATTTTAAAACAGTCTCTTCTAAAACCAGAAGGGAGGCACAAACCTGGGGCGGAGAGACGCTGCTCCCCTGAGGGCCGAGAGAGGCGTCCTGGCCGAAGTCACGCTGCCCTCCGGGGCGCCGCCATCTTGCGGCTCCTCCCGCCGAGGAGGAGAGGCGGGCCGGCGGCGGAGGCGCCTTCCTTGGCCCCGGCGGAGCGCGGGAGAAAGAGGGCCGGGCCGGGGCGGGGCGAGGCCGGGGAAGCCGCCTGCGCCAGCGAGGCCTCGGCCGGCCCGGAGCGCGAGCGGGGGGCTTCGGAGGGAACCGGCCCCCCTCGGCCTGGGGGGAACTTTTTCCGAGAATGAATTTGTTTTCGTTTTTATTTAGAAAAACCAAGCAGAGGCCGATCATTGTGGGGCCGCTTTTAACGAGAGGCTGGTGCCGCTGGGATGGTCAGGACGTTTTAAAAGCTCACGCAGAGAGTTGCTTAATTTTTATGCCGCCAGCAGCAGCCTCGCTTCAGCCGGAGTTCGGCGCGGGAAATGTCCAAGGCGCGCTTTGCATAATCCACTAGACCACAGTGACTCTCATATCTATCTGTGTATCTCATACATATAGATATATTTGCATTGTGCATGCCTTGCCTTTGCATTATCCGGGTGAGGAAAGCGGGCACGTTCAGGGGACGGAGCGTGTCAGGAGAAGATGCACCCCAAAGGGGAACTGGCGCTGCAAGGAATTGCACATTGCCTTGCCGGCTTCAGCTTCGGGCTGCCTTCGCCGGCGATTCCCGCAAGCCCTTCTTCTCCCCTCCCCGCCGCTTCCTCGTCACTTTCCGCCCTGCCTCTTTCTTGCTGCGCCCGCCTCTGGCCTCCGCCGGGCCCCGAATTTCCAAGCAGGGAGGCGGCGCCTGGCGGCAGCGGCAGCGGCAGGAGGGACCTTCCACCTTCCCCGGAGTTGTGCAAGCGGCTTGTGAGCAGCGCCAGGAGGCCAAGCAGGTTTTGTGAGTGCACCCCACACAGGGGAGCTGGCAGTTGAGTTGTGTAAGCAGTATCTGCAGAAAGACAGAGGAGAGAAGGGTAAGCTCAAACCACCCCTTCTTTCTCATGTGGAATGAATTTTAAAAAGTGGGGAAGGAGGAGATAATGTTGCTTTGGGTCCATTGTTGATGGGACTCTGTGATGTGGTCATCTCTGCTAGCAAGTACCATATCCCTGTCGTTTTGGATTTTCCAGCTGCTGATGGTAACTTTGGTTATTCTGAATGCTGGAAGGTTCAGGAAAGATAAAAGTCAGTGCTTCCCCAAACAGCACAAAGGCAAACTGCAGAACTCCCTCCTGCAAGAAGCAGGGATGGCACCAACTTGGATAGCTTTAAAAAAGGATGAGACAAATCCATGGAGAGAGGAGGGCTGTCAGCAGTTCCTAGTGAGATGGCTCTGCTCTGCCTCCACAGTTAGAGGCAGCAAGGCTTCCCAAAAGCAGTTGCTGGAAACCACAGGAGGGGAGAGATGCGCTGGTGCTCATGTTCCGCTCGCTGGTCTCCTGCAGGGATCTGCTTGGCCACTCGGAGAACAAGATGTTGGACTAGAGGAGCCACTGGCCTGATATACAGGAGGCTCTTCTTCTCTTCTTATGTCCCATCCATACTTCCCTCAAAGTGCTTACTGCTGTCATGGGGGGGGGGGGGCGCAAGTGGAATGTGAAAGGGCTTATTTGAGTATGCTGTCCTGTGCTTTATTACAGCTGTTGAAATATGCCCTCTGAACAATTTAGAAAAGGACAAATGCTTTATGTTTATGGACCCTGTAAGCCAAATTTTAAAAGGGCAACAAGCCCTTAAAGTGTGGGGGGAGGAGGGGAAGCAATGGGCAATGTTTAAAAGAAGCACCAAGTAAATTCCTTGCACATTTGAAGGGTGCACCTTGAGTAAATAAGGGGGGGGGGGAGAGAAGTAAGGTAAATAAAGGACACAGAAATGGTGCAAAGTGTGTCATTTTAGATATTAAGGTGAGTAAACTTTGTAACTTTGACAGGCTATCTACAACTTGGTTTTAAGAGGAGTTGAGTTCTCTTTTTTTTTTTTTTTTGAATAATTTTTATTAAAGTTTTAAACAAAGAAAAAAGAAAAAACAACACACACACACACAAAAAAACACAATACAAAATTTAACAATAAAAACACACAACATAACAATTTAAAACAAACTCTCTTTTACATTCCCAATTTTGAATTACTTATTTTCTGGACTTCCTCATACCTCCCTCTTTTGTATTCCAATCTACATTATTTGTCCAGCAGTTTCTTTTCCACTTTTTAAACCCAATCTTTAATTTAATGAAATATTAAACTATATAGCTTCAGCTTTTTTAAACATAATCCTTGTTCTTAATGTCATATACCTTTAAATTTTTCCCTTTTATTATCAAATTTCCATTTCTTTAAACATCTTTAATCTTAATCTTTAATCTTAATCTATCCTTAGCTTTAACCTGTACAGCTGGAAACCACTTATTTTCAATCCAACATCACTTTAACATTCCTTAATTTTGCAGTGTTTCTGAAGATAGTCTTTGAATTTCTTCCAATCTTCCTCCATCGACTCTTCTCCCTGGTCACGGATTCTACCAGTCATTTCCGCCAATTCCATATAGTCCATAAGTTTCATCTGCCATTCCTCCAGCGTGGGAAGTTCTTGTGTCTTCCAATACTTTGCGATGAGTATTCTTGCTGCTGTTGTTGCATACATAAAGAAAGTTCTATCCTTTTTAACACCATTTGGCCCACTATGCCCAGGAGAAAGGCCTCTGGTTTCTTGGGGAAGGTATACTTAAATACCTTTTTAATTCATTATATATCATTTCCCAGAAAACCTTAATCTTTGGGCACGTCCACCAAAGGTGAAAAAATGTACCTTCAGTTTCTTTACATTTCCAACATTTGTTATCGGGCAAGTGATAGATTTTCGCAAGCTTGACTGGGGTTATGTACCACCTGTATATCATTTTCATAATATTCTCTCTTAAGGCATTACATGCCGTAAATTTCATACCAGTGGTCCATAACTGTTCCCAGTCAGCAAACATAATGTTGTGTCCTACGTCCTGTGCCCATTTAATCATAGCCGATTTTACCGTTTCATCTTGAGTATTCCATTTCAGCAGCAAGTTATACATTCTTGACAGATTCTTAGTATTGGGTTCTAACAATTCTGTTTCTAATTTTGATTTTTCCACCTGGAAGCCAATTTTCCTGTCTAATTTAAATGCCTCCATTATTTGATAATAATGAAGCCAGTCTCGCACTTTGTTTTTAATTTTTCAAAACTCTGCAATTTCAGTCTATCTCCGTCTTGTTCCAAAATTTCCCAATATTTTGGCCATTTGACCTCCATATTGACCCTTTTCAAGGCTTTCGCTTCCATTGGTGACAGCCACCTTGGGGTTTTATTTTCTAGCAAATCCTTATATCTTATCCAAACATTAAATAGCGCTTTCCTGACAATGTGGTTTTTAAATGCTTTGTGTGCTTTGACCTTATCATACCATAAATATGCATGCCATCCAAATACATTATTAAAACCTTCCAAATCCAAAATGTCAGTGTTTTCAAGAAGTAGCCATTCTTTCAACCAGCAAAAAGCTGCTGATTCATAATAAAGTTTGAGGTCTGGCAGGGCAAATCCACCTCTTTCCTTTGCATCTGTTAAAATTTTAAATTTTATTCTAGGTTTCTTGCCCTGCCAGACAAATTTAGAAATATCTTTCTGCCACCTCTTGAAACAGTCCATTTTGTCCACAATCTGCAAAGTTTGAAACAAAAACAACATTCTAGGCAATACATTCATTTTTATCGCAGCAATACGGCCTAGCAGTGAAAGCTTCAAGTTTGACCAAATTTCTAAATCTTTTTCACTTCTGACCAACATTTTTCATAGTTATCTTTAAATAAATTCCCATTTTTGCTGTCATGTTAATCCCCAAGTATTTAACTTTCTTAACCACTGTTAACCCTGTCTCATTCTGAAACCTCTCTCTTTCAAAAGATGTTAAATTTTTCTCTAAAACCTTGGTTTTTGATTTGTTCAATTTAAATCCTGCCACTTGACCAAATTCTTGAATCAGTTCTAAAACCCTTTTTGTACTAGATTCTGGCTCCTGTAACGTCAGTACTAAGTCATCTGCAAATGCTCTCAATTTATAGTGTTTAGTTCCGACCTGTATACCTTTCACCAACTGGTCCCTTCTAATCATGTTCAGCAACACCTCCAGGACCGAAATAAAGAGAAGAGGGGAAATTGGGCAACCTTGTCGTGTCCCTTTTTCAATTTTAAGTTCTTCCGTCACAACGTTATTTACAATTAATTTAGCCTTTTGTTCTGAATAAATTGCACTTATACCATTCTCAAAACCTTGGCCTACCCCCATACCCTGAAGATTCTTCTTCATAAAATTCCAAGAAATATTGTCAAAGGCTTTCTCCGCATCTACAAATATCAACACTGCTTTAGTGTTTATGTTCACTTCTAATTTTTCCAAAATATCAATTATATTCCTCAGATTATCAGACAAGTGTCTTCTTGGGAGAAAGCCCGCTTGGTCCTTATGAATCTCTTCCAACAGCACTTTTTAAATCTCTTCGCCAAAATATCTGCCAAAATTTTGTAATCCACATTAAGTAATGATATTGGGCGGTAGTTCTTTAATTGTGTCTTTTCAGCCTCTGTTTTTGGTACAAGTGTAATATATGCTTCTTTCCACGACTCTGGTGCCCTCCTCCCCTCCATTATTTCGTTGCAGACCTCTTTCAATGGTTGAATTAACCAGTCTTTTAAGGATCTGTAGTATCTAGAGGTCAAGCCGTCTGGGCCTGGAGATTTACCCAGTTGCATATTTTGAATGGCACCTTCTATTTCCTGTTCCGTTATTCTATCATTCAAAATTAGTCTCTTTTCTTGAGATATTTTTTGTAATCCATTTGTTTTCAAAAATTGATCTAAGTCTGTTTCTTTCACAGGCCCTTGAGTGTATAGTCTTTTAAAATACTTCTGGAAACAACTTCTAATTTCTGCAGGGTTCTGTATATTCCTTCCATCCACTTCTAAATTCGTAATCGTATTTAATTTTTGTCTCTTTTTCATTTGCCATGCCAACAGTTTACCACATTTATTAGCCGATTCAAAAGTCTTTTGTCTCATTTGTTTAATTTTCCATTCTACTTCCTGATTCATTATTTTCATATATTGTACTTGATATAACTTTAACTCTCTCAGAGTCTCTTGAGATTTGGGATTTACTCGCAATCTTTTTCGCATTCGTTCATTTTATTCATAATTTTATCCTTCTTCTCATTTTGAGTTCTTTTCTTTATCGCATTCTGTTGTATTAAGAACCCTCTCATCACAGCTTTACTTGCATCCCAGATTACTCTTTTCTCCACGTTGGAACTAAGATTTATCTCAAAGTAATCTTTTAAGGTTTTTTGGGCCTTCTTAAGAAATTCTTCATCTCTAAATAAGGTGTCATTCATCTTCCATCTGAAGGAGCCAGTTGGCATTAGTCTCATTTCCATCTTAACAGCATTATGGTCGGAGCAAATTTTTGGGCAGATTTCCACCTTTTTTTGTTTTTGGTGCCATTCCTCTAGTTATCCAAATTTGGTCAATTCTTGTCCAAGTCATTTTGGCTTCAGAAAAGAAAGTTCCTTCTTTTGCCAAGGGGTTTCTAATTCTCCAAATATCCACTAAATCCAAGTTGTCTGTCATATCAAAAAAGGTTCTCGGTAGTCTACCATCTTTGGTGACTACCTGTTTTTGTGCCTTGTCCATATAGGTAGATACCACTCCATTCATATCTCCCATCAAAATTATGTTGTAATCCATATGGTCCATCAAGGTCTCGTGCAACTTCTTAAAAAAATCGGATTTCCCATCATTTGGTGCGTAAACTCCTACGATCAAAAATTTTTCTCCCTGTGTTTGAATTTCAATTGCCACAAATCTTCCTTGGTCATCCTTAAAAACAAATTTTGGTGATAAATTATCTTTTGCGTAGATCACAACTCCTCTCTTTTTAACTTTATCCGACGAAATAAATTCCTGACCAAGTCTTTTGTTTGTTAACAATTTCCTGTGTAGTCTCATTATATGTGTTTCTTGTAAACAAATTAAATCTAATTGTTCCTTTTTTAATATGTGAAATACTGACTTCCTCTTCTGAGGGGAATTCAAACCCCGACAGTTCCATGTTAAAAGTTGCAGGGCCATGATGTTATTGTTTTGATACTCCTCCTACTGCACCTAGTGCCTGTTCCTCGTCCGTCGGTGGTATCCCTTCTTTCGAGCGATCTTTTGGTTCCGGAGATAGTTCTTTTTGTAAGTCTTCTCCGTGGTCTCTGTAGAATTTATCTTTGTCGTCTTCCGATCTTATTTTCCTCTTCTTTCCCTTGTAGGTAAAAGACAGGCCTTGGGGGAGTTCCCACCTGAAATTGATGTTGTTCCTTCTCAGCAGGATAACCAGATCTTTGTATTTTGATCTGAGCTCCAGAATATATTTCGGAATGTCTTTGAATATTTCCACCCTTTTCTGATGAATTTCCAATGTTTTCCTGAAGTGTAGGCCCAAAATCTTATCCCTCTCTTCTTTTGTTCTAAAAGTAATCAGACAGTCTCTCACCTTCTTTTCTCCTTTTCTCCCAAGTCTAAATGCGTTTACTATTTTGAAACTGTCTTTTGCCAGTTCTGGATCCCAAAAGTCCAAAAATTCCTGCGTGAGAAATTCAGCTAAATTGTCCTTTTCCACCTCTGGTACTGACCTGACCCGAAGATTCACTTGCTTCTCCCTCAAATCTATCGTAGACAGAGTTAGTTTATGGTCTTCCAATTGTTTATGCAATGTTGGTAATTCCTCTTGAACCTCCTTGACATCCGTAGCAGAAGTTGTAGCAATTTCTTTAGCCTCTTCAGCAATCTGGCGAGTTGCGGCCGATTCCTCTAATAATTTCTGAATAGTCTCAGTGTTGGTATTTACTTTTTGGCCCAAATTATTTATACTTGCTGTATTTTGATCAATCTTCTCATAAGCCTCTGCTACTTGTTGACTTATTTTACTCAAAGATTCATTAACTTTGGCCAAAACTTGAGCAAAGGCTTCTTCACTTGTCGAGCTTTTTACCTTTGATTGTGCCGATGAGGCTGTTGTTGAGGTTCCAGAAGGGCCTGAGACCGAAGCTCTCCTTTGTAATCCTTCTTCTATGCGAATGTTCCTCCCCGATCTTGTAGTCGAAGCCTCCGTCTTCTCTTTATCTGCCATTCCTTAGATAATTCTCAAGGTCAGACACGTAGTTAGAATTGTACAGTGGAAATTTCCTTCCAAATAGTGTGAGAACTTAAGAGGAGTTGAGTTCTCAAAAATTCAGTTGCGGATGCTGAATTATATCCTGTAGGTTAGGCACCCCCAACCTTCGGCCCTTCAGATGTTTTGGACTACAATTCCCATCATCCCTGACCACTGGTCCTGTTAGCTAGGGATCATAGGAGTTGTAGGCCAAAACATCTGGAAGACCGCAAGTTGGGGATGCCTGCTGTAGGTCATTTCAACCAAGTGTAAAATGGGGGTGACTTAAACTCCAATTGCGGAGTTTAATTCAAAATTCTGAGGTCCGATGAGAAGTATTCTGCAGGTATGAAAGGTTAGCTGCTGTTAAAGCAGTTCTAAAAGTGTGGAGCACAGTTTGAAGTAGATGCAGGTGTTTTTAATACAACAGATTTTCATGCTGAAAAGCCTTGCAGTGAAGAAATACAGGAATTAATAAAGGTGAGCTATATCCTGCCCTCTGCTTCCAAGCTGTGAATGCCATTGCTTCTGTAGATAAACCAGCACACACACATCACACACAAAAGGGAGGTGTAAGCTGCTTGGGGGAACCTGTAGGTTTGCAAGAGAACAGTAAATTGTTAGGGGCAGACAAAAACCTAAAGAACCCCACTAAGAACTGAACAAGCAGAGATACCCTGCCATGGAATGCTGATTGACAGTGTGGAACCAGGTGTAGGAATGGCACAGAGTGACTAGAATCCTGAGAAGCAGCATTGCATGCCAAAGCACCCAAGGCACAAAGTTCCCAGGAGAACAACAGGTTCAACTAGGCCACAACTTTATTGGTTACAGATGTGAGCGGTTTGGCTTAGGCATTGGGGTGAAGCCAAGCTATATCTTGACTCCTGCCCATCTGCAGAGAGTCCACTGAAAGGTAAACCACCAGTAAGGGGTGCCCTATGACTTACATTAAATAGGGGGTCCCCGTAGGGGCTGTGACATGGCCCTAGCCCACGTCCAGACTTCGGATAGGATTCACACCCTGGATCCCTTTAACAGGATACCCTTACTGAGGAGGGCCGGCGAAGGCAACAACCTCCCCTCCAACCAAACAAAGGTTTACCCAGTGCCTAAACTCACCAAAGTTGTGACGATTGCTACTAGGTAGTCAAAAACCAAATGGCCAGTGCCAATTTGCCAAGTGGAAAAAATTCCTACCCAGCCTGAACAACATGGCGACCGACAGTTGTCCATAGCAAGGTCATTTGAGCAAAGTGTGAAAAGAGGGTGGGTGGGTTGGGTGATTCGACGAAGGGGTGAGAAAAGGGGCCGGCCAGCCGTGCCACGATTAAATTGCCCGTGGCCACACCCACCCTGCTAGCTGAATGGCTGGAGCTGTCCCCCAGCAATGGTGACGCGGCCGTAGTGATTTGGGGGAGAGGCGGCGTCCCTCCGCCCGTTTGGCTGGGGAACTGTTGAGATCCGGCTGCCTGGCCACAATGCCTCCCACTGCGTAAAAGGTGAACCGACTTCCATACTGAAGCACTTTGCTGCAGGTCTCACTTACCTTTGTATAAAAATCAGTCTGCAAGACTGTAATATGATCCAGAAGCAGACTCCAGGATGGGTCTGACTTGATTCTCAGAGGCTTGAGTTGCGAGATCTTTGCCTTCTCTGTCATGAGAATGATTGTCATTTGTCTGAGGGAAAATAAAACAGCTGCACTTGGTTGAAATTGTGATGTGATCATAACCTGCCCTCTATTCTTTACTCTGGGTGATCCAGCTCCCATTTACAGGGTCCTGTAGGAATTCTTGTATGTTCACGTCAATGTGAAGGGTGTAAAAAGATGCACCGATCCCCCGTCAGGGGTTTCTGCAATACGCAAGCTTTCCTACCCTGTGTACATGGTCAGATATATAAGCGAGGTGCCAAATGGCTCCTTATACCAGGGTTACAGCTGCCAAAACAGAATGTCTAGTTGCCATTTGGGGACAAGACAGCTCTTAAGTCTTATTTTGCAAATGATTGACAGACTGTGATTAAGTCTCAGTTAAACATTTGGCTAGTTCAGATGACAACTTTGAGCTAGGTTAACAGCTTTGAGAACTTAAAGAAGACAAGTCACTTGATCTAGGAATAATCTACACACAGTATATATTGGCCTATTCCAACCTCTTTTTCTTAATGGTGACTGCTCCTGCTCAGGCTGCACAGAAAAAAACATTTTTGTTCCTGAAATTCAGTTTGATTATGCAGATAAAATATAACTGATAGAGTTTTACAGGATGTTGTATGAGTGTGTGAAAAGCGTCCTGATCCAATGATCCCCAGGCATGACGCTCCAGATGGTGGGGACGTCAGGTGCCATCCTGGCGCCCAGGCATGTTCACTTGGACACAAGTGGTTGATAGCCAGGTGCAAAATGCTCCTGGTGCTTGGCTAATTTCAAACACTGCTTGGATTGCCATGTTTTTGTTTATAAGGAGAAGGGCTGGAAAAGATCTTTGGACTTCAGTCAGCCCAGCTAATATTGGGCTATAGAAGGCATGACTTGGTATAAAGCAGATTCATCTATTTCCCTTTCCCTACATGTGTCAGGAATCCCAGTGTGTTTGTCAGCAAGGAAATGAGGCACTCTAATGGCCCTTCTGGCATTATGTTTGCACACCTGTTTTCTGACACTGGTCTTGGTATTTCTATTAGTAAAAGTAATGTGAGAACCAACACTCAGTCAGACTGCAGTTGCAGCAGGGGTCAAAGTGACTCATGCTGCAACCTAACACCAAATAGTTTTTGGCCATCCTTTCCAAACAGCTCCCATGAACACATTCTTCAATTCATGGCAATGGTTGCTATGTTTTCCAGCTTTGACACGAATTGCAAGACAGTCAAATTTTACCGGTGTTCCAGTGTACAAGTTTGCGGCTTAAGCCTGGCATTTTTGGTTGTGGGGTTGAATTCTGAAGTCCCTCAGATGGCAGAAGGTGGGGCTGGGAATATATAACTTAGAGAAAATGTCATTTGAGGGTCCATAGCTGAGGTATGCTTTGCAGGAGTGGAGTAGAACTCTGCCTGAGAGCCTCTAAATATGGACAATACTTCTATAGAAGGACAGTCAGATTGATTCAGGACAAGTTGTATCCGTTGATATAAAAGCATGCCCAGGGTTCTTTTTATACTAAGTGTCTCTGCCAGGATCTGTGGCTCATAGTGGCATTGCATATAAATTGTATTTTGTGTGTGCAAGGGCTTTTTCCAGCCGGAACACTCCTGAACGCAGTTCTGGAGCGGCACGTTTTTTTCAGTGCTTTTTAAGGTAGTCGATGCGGCGCACTCCCTAAAAAAAGCTCAACACTAGTGTGTGGCCTGCCAAGCATTTAAAAACAAATCCCAAGCATCTAGCCTTCATGGATGTTTATAAAGAAACTGTTGCATTACTGTGATCTGTCCCTTGAAGGCAAATCATCCCTGCAGAAAGGGATTTAAACATTCGGTGTATTGTAACTATTTCACAGTTGTTATCTGAACGATTGGAGTTGGCAATGTGAAGGCTTTCAATCATATCGGCTTCATGTACAGCCCGTCCTGGAATCTTTTTAAATGACTCACAAGGTATAGCAAACAAGAACTCACCTTTTGTTGCACTGAACATCATGTTCCAAAGATGCACCAGACCTATGAGGTCATAGTCACATTGTGGTCACATAGTCCATAGCTGAGGGGGAAAGGTTTTTTGGGACCAATGGAAGACACCTAAACTACCAAAATTAAGTGCATTTGATTTGTTCCTAGGATTATTATTATTTTTTGTCAGATCACTAAATGAGAAAGCAAAACTCTCAGTACCATAAAGGGTAAGTAGTCTATTCCCTATTGGGGGGGGGGGGTCCTTCAACTGAACTTTAGAAGAAGAAAAATAGAAAAGTTTTGTGTCATCTTGCATGTCATGCTTCTGGTTTCCCCCCTCACATGTAAAATGCCATTTAAAAGTTGCTAGAGAATGAAACTGTGGAAAGTTAAATTTAAAACAATTTAGAACAGATTAACTATTTATGGAAATGGGTCTGTAGATTAACATTTTCATAGAATTACCTAGCAACCAGGATGGACCAAAATGGACAAGCAATGAAAAATTCAGATTGGTACAGAATTCCGCATCCTGGGGGTCAGTTTAGGCATTCAGCTGAATGAGGTGGTAAAGCTTTGCTCCACCCTGCCACTTTAGGGGGCAGGTGGTGAAAATAGAAAGCAAGCATGTCAGGGAGAAGGGTTCCGTGTAACCACCCTAATCCCACGGGAGCATGGATCCTAGGGCGCTCTTTGCCCCTTCCTGTTAAAAACAGTAGACTTAAAGATGTTCAACAGTGTGTAGTTTTACTTTATATGGAACTAGGAACAGATGGAAAATGTGGGGACTTGGGGTTAACTGAAAACTGGATTTGGGGCAGGCAGGATCTGGGTTGATAATGAATTAAGGGATGATCTAGGTCGGATTTTTATTTGAAGAAATGAATTAATGTAAGATAATTTATTTAGAGGTGATTGGTCATAATTAAAGGAAGGAGAAGTTATTCTGAGCTTGGGGATAGTTTAGCAAAATAAGAGTGTGTTTTTGATATAATTGGCCCACCCCCCACATTTCCCCTGCCCCAGGGGTGGTGGAAAATCTTCCTTCGTCTTCCTACTCAGTTGCAGCTTCAAGTTTTCAGACTGGAAAAAGACTGACGTTACTTCTTGAACATTCAGCTTGCTGCAGCAGACTACAACCGATCTCCAGTTTAGACCTGTGTTATCTTTGTTGGCAACTCTGTGGTGGAAACTCCCATAAAGCTCCCATAGATCACTCTTGCAAAATTGTCTTTTGGTAGAATGAATGGTTACCAGATCCAGAGAACTACCATAAAACTATAGACTACACCACACCGTCATTCCCTGGTTTGAGAAAGGCTGGGCTTTTCCAAAACTATTCTGCGGAGAGAACTAATTATTAAAAACAACAGAAACAACAAAAACAAATGTGTGCATCTCAGCAGATATGTACAATAAATGCTTATTGCATTTTTTAAAAAGGCTCCGGTTTTCTGCTGTAGCAGAAAGTAAAGTTGGAGGAACCCCAGAGGCTATTTTCTTCAGCATTAATTTAGTTCAGGCCTGAACTTGTATTTGAAACAAATATTCGTGAATTAAAGTTGGGAGATATGAAATAGTTAACAGAGTAGCAGTCTATAAAATATATAAATTTGCGCTGGATTCAACTGCTGCTCCTGTTGGCTTCTACACTTTGGAATGGGGGGGGAGCCATTTTGTCAAACAGCTTCTTGGGCTGGCCTGCATAGGAGGGAGGGCTAGACTTTGAGTCCATTTCCAACTCAGAGATAGTTTTGAGGAAGTTTATTTATCTATACAGAACCTGGATGAATAGACCTGTGGTTGGAGGTATTGAAGTGGGGGAGAGAAGGGAAAGGAAAACGGACAGCAGTCTTCATGTTGTGTGAGAGACCTTCCTATACATCAAAAGCAAGTTCCATTGGTTTCAGTGGGGCTTAATTTGGGGTTGTTTCCAACAGCATTTCTTCCTTGATGCATTAATGAATTTTCACAGCATCTCCTCACCACCAGGACCTCAGGATGAAAAGTAACTGCTCCACCCAGTATCCTGTCTCCAAAATGACCTGTGTAATATAAACACAGCTAAGTGGCATTGAGAAATATGAATGTTTGTTCCCTCATCAGCCTGGGCCTAGATATTAAAAAACGTGGTTTCTTTGTTTTGTTTTGTTTTGTTTTTCATTACAGGGAAGGACAGTAACAGTGTTATAATGTCCTTTCTTGTGTTTTATATAAGCCAAGGAGTGAGAAGCTTTTGCCTAAATAGCTATTTGAGATTGCAAGGGTTCCCTCTGGTGGCATTTTGGATTAAGATGTAGAACATTTGCTATCATAGCCTCCAGGAATCCAGGCAAGGATTGCTCATCTAATTTTTATTTTGGAAAGGGGAAGGGTTGTTCTGGGAAGACATCCTCAATGTTCCACTTGAATAGGGGAGAACTCTTTTTGCTTCCTCTGACCTTGGGGTGCTCAGTGCAAAAAATGATGCTGGCTACCACCCCAAGAACACTGTTGTTGTTGTTTAGTCGTGTCCGACTCTTTGTGACCCCATGGACCAGAGCACGCCAGGCACTCCTGTCTTCCACTGCCTCCCGCAGTTTGGTCAGACTCATGTTTGTAGCTTTGAGAACACTGTCCAACCATCTCGTCCTCTGTCATCCATTTCTCCTTGTGCCCTCCATCTTTCCCAACATCAGGGTCTTTTCCAGGGAGTCTTCTCTTCTCATGAGGTGGCCAAAGTATTGGAGCCTGTGCTGGTTACCGTGAGGCGTGGTCAGAGTCCGGTCCTGGGTCGAGGGTCTGGGGACTGTCCACCAAGGGTGAAGCGGGGTCCAAAGCGAGGAGCCGGGCAAGGTCGGGAACTCTGGAAGAACAGGTCTCGGTGCTGGCAGAAACAGGTTTCCAACGACGTTGCTCCCGCAACCTGGGACCGGGCTGACTGGCCTTTATCTTCTCTGAGGCCAGGGGCGGTCCACAGGTGACCCGCCTCTCCTGGCCTTAAGGCAAGCACTCCTCCTGAGAGAACCCAGTTCCCTCCGCCTCTCTGCCCTGAGCCTCTGCAGCTCAGGAGAGGCTGGAGGCTTACTGGACCCAGGGGGAGGCTCACCTTCCCCTGACAGGGCTGGGAGAGGCGCACCTGTAGGCACTGTCTCTTCAATCACCTCCGGAGCCAGAGTGGAATCATCTTGTGTCTGCTCCTGAGGATCCGGCACAGGTGCAGGTGCTTCAGCTTCAAGGCCCTGCCCTGGCTCAGCCGGCCCTGGAGGCAGGGACTCCTGTGCAGGCTGGGATTCCTCCGGTTCAGCCTCTGAATCAGATTCCCAGGCCATCACAGAGCCTCAGCTTCAGGCTCTGTCCTTCCAGTGAGCACTCAGGGCTGATTTCCTTAAGAATGGATGCGTTTGATCTTCTTGCAGTCCATGGGACTCTCAAGAGTCTCCTCCAGCACCAGAATTCAAAAGCATCAATTCTTCGGCGATCACTGCCTGCCCCCAAAGGCACTGTCTTCTGTGCACTGTTGAAGTGCCCAATCTGATTCTTGCCAAAGTAGTAGCCTAGACTCTCTCCAAAATGTTGTGTCATTGGTTGGAATAAAAACAAATAGCAATTTACCAGAGGACCAGAATTCAAGAGTTTAAAAGAAAAAGTGGGATAGGGTTTTTTGTTGATGTGAAAAAGCTATTTTTAAAAAAGGGGAGAGGAAATTGGACATCCCCCCTGGAAGAGGGCAACATATCTAGTTTCAATTTGATCCAGGAATGCTCCTTCGCTACTCCTCTTTGACCTCTGTTCCTGTTTTTGATAGATAACTTTTGGTTGGTCTCACCCTCATGCTTATCTTGAACAGTCAAAAGTGCATATGCCTTATCTCTGTTATACAGAAAAGGCGGAAAGAAGTAGTGAATTCTTTGTAAAGCTGAGGCATCGTCCTAAATACTGCTACCTGCATCCTCTCGTGTTCTTTTTGCGCAGACCCAGGTGAAGGACTTTACTCTGCCTCCCCAGGTATGATGTACCCAGTTCCATCCCTGGCTTCTGACTGCTTGCCCTCCTGGCTGCCCTCTCTCCTCCTGCCATTTGCTGCTGGGTTGGCTGAACAGCTGGAATGCTACAGAGGGCAAGTGCAGGCAATGATTACGGGAATTGAAACTCTTCATATTGTGTGAGCAGCTGCCCATCTCACAGCCGTTTTCATTCCACATTTGCACCTGATGTTGTACCCAAAGCACTCTTCTGTCTTGGCAGAACGATCCAGGCAACAAGAAGACCAACTGAGGAAGTGAAGAGCACAGAGAGCCATTGATACATGTCTGCTTGAGGAGGCAACTGCCAAATTAAACTGAAAAGAAGTTGTCTTATTGGTTGACGTTACAAGTAAGTTGTTGGAAAGGGAAGGCTTCCTAAATTATAAGGGGAAATGTACTTTGTAGGCCTTGCTAATGGAACAGGATTAAGAGTCTATGAGAGCAGGGCTGGCCCATCCATGAGGCAAGGTGAGGCAACTGTCTCGGGTGGCAGAATCCACAGGGGAAGCAGATCTGCCCTCCAAGGAATGCATTGCCCACCACTGCAGTAGTAACAGCAGCTGCAGAGCATTCCTTGGAGGCTGGATCTGCCACCCCCTCAGCCCCCACCCCAGGCCTCCTCCACAGAGGCCTCTTAGCACATAGACAGTGCTGCTGGTCTCTTCCCACCCCTGGGGAAGAAATGGTGGGGGAAGCCCTATGGGTCTACATCTGCCCAGCATGATCCAGAGTGGACCTTTTCCTTCCCCCACAACCATCTCTGATTCCCAGCTCAGCCATTGAGTAAGTTTGATTCAATTCCCCCCCTTGTTCCTGATGCAGATCTTCACTCACCCCTTCTTACCTGGTGGGGGGGCACTATTTTGTGGTTTGCCTTAGGTGTCAAAATGTCTCGGGCCAGCCTTTAATCTAAGAGAACACATTGGGCACAATCCTGCTGTAATCAAAACATTTAACTGAGGAAACAGTGCTAAACACCCTTACTAGAAGGCAAGCCTCTGGCATGTCTTTTGTCCCTTGACGCTGGCATCCCAGGGCAGCTGTCAGTTGGAGCAGAAGGATTGCCCTGGCAGTGAGAGGAAAAGCAGCAATCCCTGCAGCTTCCCCTTCTCTGGCCAACATTTATGTATCTGATGTTTAAAGGTTTATTATTATTATTATTATCATCATCATCATTATTATTATTATTATTATTAATTAATGCATCACTTACACAAGAGTCTCTTGGCAATTTGCCATTAAACACAAAACATGCCAGTATCACAATGCTGTTTTTTTAAATGCATAAATTAAACACCACAATCTAACGTCCAGCTCTTGTAGCCATAGATTTGTTGTCCCTCTGTGCACTTTCAGTATTGAAGTATCCTGTGCAATTAACTTTGCTAGGGTTGAAAGAATGCAGCTCTTTAAACAATTAGACCATCTGTATAGGAAATGCTAGCAGCAATTCTGTGATAGCGTAAAGGATAATGGGGAGAGAAACAAGCTTATAGTAACCTTTCTTCTTCTTCCCCCACCCCTCCCTCTTTCACGAAGGATTTACCATGTTTGGGACTGTGGTCGTTGGGATTGGGATTGCAGGATCTGTGCGGATCAGGGACTTGCTGAATCCTTTGCCTTCCAGTCCTGCTGAGCATCTCAGACTGTTGGGCTTTGTGTCTAGGTGAGAGGCTTCATTATGTGGCTTAAGAAAAAAATTCTAATGAGAGTAATTTATAACTTGTAAAAACAATTATGCTTGATGGCACCTTGAAGCTAACATTTGATAAGCCTTTTTTATTTTTTCAAAACATGGGCATGTCTCATAGGTAATAACCTACTTCTTCAAATGCTGAGTAGGAACTTAATATTCTAATGAGCCTGGATCCCAAGATTTAGAGCGCTGTACATCTCACGGGACGCGGGTGGCGCTGTGGGTTAAACCACAGAGCCTAGGACTTGCCGATTAGAAGGTCGGTGGTTCGAATCCCCGCGACGGAGTGAGCTCCCGTTGCTCGGTCCCAGCTCCTGCCAACCTAGCAGTTCAAAAGCACGTCAAAGTGCAAGTAGATAAATAGGTAAAGAAGGTAAACTGCATTTCCGTGAGCTGCTCTGATTTTGCCAGAAGCGGCTTAGTTATGCTGGCCACATGACCCGGAAGCTGTCTGCGGACAAACGCTGGCTCCCTTGGCCAATAAAGCGAGATGAGCGCCGCAACCCCAGAGTCGGCCACGACTGGACCTAATGGTCAGGGGTCCCTTTACCTTTACCTTTACATCTCAAGTTGTCCCCCACTGAGGCTCTTTTCAGTATTCCCTTTTCGTCAGAGGTAAAATGAGTGATAACTGGAGAGAATGCCTTTTTGGTTTGGTGCCCCATTTACTTATCTGGCTCCAACACTGTTTTCTTTCAGGCACCAGATGAAAACATCTTAATTCTATCATCTTTTTAAGTTTCTGGCATTTTAAAATATTCCCCATGGAACTGGATTATCTATCATCTGTTTTTATTATGCTTTTTTATTATTGTTGTGACATTTTAATTGAGTGAAAAGCTCCAAAAGCAATTTTGTTGCTTCCTTCTGCACTTTTGTGCCACATAAGTGCTGTTCATGGTAGGTATGTTCTCATTCATTTTTGTTTCTGCTAAAACTAGGAGACCTCTAGGTGATGTTCAGAAAGTCAAGCAGATAAGTCTACAAGAAGCTGTGGACAGCAAGGAGGTCACTGCTGCCATCGTCTGTACAGATAACCAGAACCACAGTGAGACTGTCAGGTATTGCCTTCCCAATTCTCTAGTATAAAAACGACGTTAGAATGTCGGTTCCCCGTTATTCCAGAGAGTATGTTGACCAGAATGACTTTCAGCAAAACTCTCACTTTACACTTGCTATTTAGGCATTATCCTTCTCATCAGTTGACGATGGTTCATGCAAGTTTAAACAGTACATTTTCTTACCTTCCAAAACACCCTCCCTTCAGATGTGAAGGAAATAAGCAGCTATCCTATCTTTAAAAGACATCTGAAGGCAGCCCTGTTCAGGGAAGTTTTTAATATTTAACGCTGTACTGTTTTTAACACTTGACTGGGAACCGCCCAGAGTGGCTGGGGAAACTCAGCCAGATGGGCGGGGTATAAATAATAAATTATTATTATTATTATTTTTAAAAACGTGGGTGGGATAGGAACATAGGAAACAGCCTTACACCAGGTTAGACCATTGGTGTATCAAGCTCAGCTTTGTCCACACTGACCAGCAATGGCTCTTCAGAATTTCAGACAGAAAGCATCAAGAAGAACTTTATGGCAATAAGAGCCATTTGACAGTGGAACGGATTCCCTCCCTCACTGGAGGCTTTTAAGTAGAGGTTGGATGGCCACCTGCCAGGGATGCTTTAGCTAAGGTTCCTGCATTGCAGGGAGTTGCTCTCGGTGACTCTTGGGAACCCTTCCAACTCTACAATATGACGATTCTCTTCCCAGCTCTTCCTGGAGACGTCAGGGATTGAACTTGGGAACGTCTGCATGCAAAGCAGCTGCTCTGGCACTGCTCTCTGGTTCCCCCTGAGCCTTGGCTCTTTCCTGGTCGTCACTTAATGTGTGTGTTTCATCTAGAAAGGCAACAATATAAATGCGCAGTTTATGTGAAGTGCTTGTATGGATACTAGAATGTAAAAACGTATGGAGAAAATTGTCCTTAGCGCCTAGAAATGCTTCTGATATCCATGAAAGCTTGCTTCAAACTGTAAACTAGTTTGACTTTGGCTGCAACTGTAATTGCTGCAACAAAAGAACAATGAGAATTGTAGTTTGCACGGCTGCTGGGCTGGGTGGATTTGATTTAAATCACTAATCAGTAAGACTTGATTTAAATCATTTTTTTACAGAAAGACTCATTCTTGCTAGTATAATCTTAATATTTACAACCAGATGAAGGTTTCATTTTTGGAATAATAAATTTTCAGAGTAGTTTTTACAGTTATATTAAAAATGACTGATTTGGTTATATTATTAGAAATGCATAGACAGATAATTATGAAATTATTGTGAGGTTTAATAAGTTAACTGTTTATATTTGGACAACTTTTCTGCTATACTTTATTGGAAGGAGAAAAATAATCATTTCCTTAATAACAATTTAAACAATTTATTTAACTAAAACAATAACATTATAGCATATGTATCCGTGTTTGTTAACTGATGTGGTTAAACATTTTTAAAAAAACAAACACAGACTGAGTTTTAGCACACATGAAAAACTTACAACAAATCCTTATTTCCTGATGAATAGCCTTTGGACTATAATGTAACTTAAATAGAAAACTATCGTTAGAAAGATTTTCCCTCCAAAAGCATTTTATTTTAAAATTTTGATTTTTTTGATTATTTTTAAAATCATTTATTTTTATCCACCCTGCTGTTGGGATTAATTTGGAAAACACCTAGGAAAGGTGCTCTGAGCTTCTGAAAGTGCAAGATGCATAAGTGTAACACATATCATTTTCTCCTTTGTAAGGATGTTCCTGGAGGCTGGGAAACATGTCCTTGTCGAGTACCCTTTGGCGCTGTCTGCAAAGGAAGCACATGAGCTGTGGGAGTTGGCAGAGCAGAAAGGTATTATGCAAAACCAAGGCTGTGCTTGTTTAAAACAGTGTGTGGCGCCACAGCTCTGCTCCTTTGTAATTTAAAGTGTGTGTCGCAGGGCAGCACAGTTGCAAAGGTATCCTGTCCTGTATGGATAGTTATGCAGAATGACAAGTACTGCTTCTTCTTCTACCACTGCAGCATCACAATGGGAGAAATGATATATGTCAAAGTTCTCCTTTCTTCAAAACTACTAGAGACAAAGGAACTCTGCCCTGGTCCCTCCAAATTAACAGAACGGGGGTCGGGGGGCATCTCAGATGAGGAACAGGTGTGGTACAAAATGGAAAACTATGGAACACTCTGCTGTGCTGCAAGAAGTTTGTGCTCTTGGACAGAGACAACCACTTTACTGCTTCAATTTCTAAGAAAGGTACAAAGTATGTGTCACCTGGGGTCCAACCCTACCATTAGGCAAAATGAGGCAACTGCCTCAGGCAACAGACGTTGAGAGGCAATGGCAGCACCTCTCTCAACGTTTCTTCAGCGTTCCCTTCTGTTGGAGAATATACTACTACTACTACTACTACTACTACTACCACTACTACTGTACTACTAATAACAACAATAATAGTACCCCGCGCATCTGACTGGGTTTCCCCAGCCACTCTGGGTGGCTCCCAATCAAATATTAAAAACACAATATAGATGCTGACAGGTTTTGTGCACCGCATGGCCTGTCCTGACCACCCCCTCAAAAAAACCAGCCGCCTGCAACAGAGGATGCTGTCCCATTGCAGCAAGGTACTGCATGTGGAATTTGGAGGAGGGGGTGTAGCAACCACCTTGTACTTCATATAAGGCTGCAAAATGTCTTGGGTTGCCCCTGATTTCACCTTTCCTAGAAAAAAAAGCAGGGGGAAATTCCTTCGTTCATTCTCTTTTGTTACTAATTTTTATTATTTATTAAATTTGTATACCACCCTGCATCTGAAGATCATAGGGTGGTTTACAACATAAAAATAAAACATGAGAACACAAAATACATAACAATAATGAGAAAACGAGAACAAACCACAAACACATTTTAAAGGCCATAGATTGTTTAATCATCCAAAGGCCTGGTTATAGAGAAAGTACCAGGTGAGCCTCCTGGGGGATAAAGGTAAAGATCCCTGACCATTAAGTCCAGTCGCGGACGACTCGGGTTGCTGCGCTCATCTCGCTTTGCTGGCCAAGAGAGCTGGCGTTCGTCCGCAGACAGCTTCCGGGCCATGTGGCCAGCATGACTAAGCCGCTTCTGGTGAACCAGAGCAGTGCAACGAAACACTGTTTACCTTCCCTCTGGAGCAGTACCTATTTATCTACTTGCACTTTGATGTGCTTTCAAACTGCTAGGTGGGCAGGAGCAGGGACTGAGCAACAGGAGCTCACCCCGTCACGGGGATTCGAACTGCCAACCTTCTGATCGGCAAGCCCTAGGCTCTGTGGTTTAGACCACAGCGCCACCCACGTCCCCTTGGGGATATCCCCTTAGGGATAGCATTCCACAAATGGGAGCCACTGCAGAAAAGGCCCATTCTCATGTTGCCAACCTCCAGACCCTTCATGAAGGAGGCATGCAAAGAAGGGCCTCAGGGTCCGGGGTGGTTTATATATGGAGAGGCATCCTTGAGCTATTGTGGTCCTGAGCCATTTAAGGCTTTATAGGTCAAAGCCAGTACTTTGAATTGGGCCCCGAAAGTGATTGGCAGCCAGGGCAGTCAGGCCAGGATTGGTGATAAATGCTCAAGCTGTCTTTCCCCAGTGAGCAACCTGGCCGCCAGTTTCTGCACCAGCTGAAGTTTCCAATTCTTCTTCAGAGGCAGCCCCATGTATAATGTTACAGTATTCTCGCCTAGAGGTTACCAGTGCATAGACAACAGTAGTTAGGCTATCCCTGTCCAGAGAGGGGTGCAGTTGGGCCACCAGCCGAAGCTGATGGAAAACACTCAGTGCCACTGAGCCTCAAGGGACAGCAAAGGATCCAGAAGTACCCTCAAGCTGTGTGCTCCAGCCATCTGATCTAGGGCCTCAGTCTTATCTAGACTGAGCTTCAGCTTATTGACTCTCCTGCAGTCCTTTACCAAGGCAAGAGAGTGGTCCAGCACGTCCACTGCCTCACCTGAAGATGTAAAGAAGAAATGGAGCTGTTTAAGAGTAGCAGTCTTCCACCCACACTAATATCAGTGCAAATAAGATCCCACTCTTTAAAAAAGTGAAAAAGCAGGTGTAGTAATACAGATTGTATTTTGGAGCAAGTCTGCACAACATCTAACCCACCAACCATCTAAATTGTGTTCAAAAACAGGGACGTTTTGCAGCACCTGATGGGGTACAGTAAATGGCTGATAAGCTGTTTGGCACAGAGTGTCACAAGGTGCCCAGGGCTGCTCTGTACCTTCAGGGAAGGTAATTTCATTCTCATGTATATATACCCCACCTTTTTACCTGATGGGCAAAATAGTTGCTTAACTGTTTTTTCTATGTATTTAGCCATTTTTATTTTTATCCCTAGGATGCCTTAGGTCCTGCTAGGGAAAAGGGCAGGATATGTATGTATGTATGTATGTATGTATGTATGTATGTACAAACAAACAAACAAATAGTGCAGCCAAGAAATGGAATGCGTAGCTACTTCCTTGGTGTAGGGTTCCCAGCTAAATTACTCAAGGGGAGATTTTATGACTTTACTAGCTATGTGGCAAGAAGGTGCTCAAGGCGCATAGCTTCTCTCACACTCTTGTAGAAGACTGGGCACTGACAACCATGCATTTGAACCTGATGCCATTCCCAATTGTTGATCATTAAATCTGCATTTGTCTCCATGGCAGGCAAAATCCTCCACGTGGAACATATTGAACTCCTGACTGAGGAGTACAAGCAGCTGAAGAAAGAGGTGGCAGGGAAGGAGCTTGTGAAGGGAACCTTGCACTTCACAGGTCAGTAGTTGGAGACGGTCTAATTTAATGCAGTCTGACCTGCTTTGCAGCAGCTGGTGCTTCAGGCATCATCAACCCACCCATTTCTGGAAGGAATAAACATGGACCAGGCCAGTTTAACCAAAGATTCTAGGCCTACCTCTTTGCTGACTGCACTGGTTTTTCTATTTACAAGTATTATATATTGTAAGAGAGCTTTAAAAATGTGGTTCTGTCCAGCCCCCAGCTGCAGTTTGGACTGGCGCAGTCCATTCTACTGTTGTACAAACAGACCTGGTCTTTGAAATTATTCTGTCTGTTTGATAGTATAGCGAGTCCACCCATAGGTAGAATAGTTCTTTTTCCATCCATGTGTTCAAAGTCCTCTTTTTCATTTCTAAAGGTGGTGCATTGGATGAAGAACGCTCAGGGTTCCCAGCTTTTAGTGGGATTGCTCGCCTGACTTGGCTAGTTGATCTTTTTGGGGACCTCACTGTTGTCTCTGCCACGAGGGAAGAGCAGAAAGAGAGAAATTACTCCAGAATGACTGCACAATTTCAGACTGCAAAAAATAGGTTGGTATAATTGAATTCTAGAAAATGTTGATTAACCACAATAATATTTCTCCTGCTGCCTTACTAGGGTCACATGTGGCACTGTGGGTGCCAACATCCCTCAACCAAAATAATCTCTGCGCAGGCAATCTAAATTTTGCACCAAGAAAAGGACGAGGCAGGAGCAAATTAGCTGTGAGCATCTCTCTAGGAGCTCATATGCTTGGGTATATGCTACGGCATAATTTGGCTTTGTGCAATGTGCAAACCAGACCAATATCTGTTTAATTTACAAACCACCTTCGTATATGCTCAAGGTAGTGTACAACAAAACCAAACCATAATATTGAAATGAACACAATAAACAGTTTACACTTTCAATCTATAATACTGCCCTAGTCTCAGTAAATTATTTCCTCTGCATCTGTGACATAGGGCAGGACCACAATTGGACAGGCATTTGCTGGGAATCCTGAAATGGTTTTGCTTTGATATCCTGGATGAAATTGATATTTTCAGAACTGGAACCAATTATTGTAATTGCTCCTACAAGTCGAATATGTCATTGTCTTCCTACTTTTCTAGGTAGCATGTGGCCTGGTTTGTTACCTGTGCTGTCATCCACCTTTGTTCTACTAGGCTTATCACATGTTGTGTGCACCTCTGCCATGTGTATCCCGGTAGCTTTTGTCTTTGGTGTAGTCATTCGTCTAAGATTAATCTGCTGGGAATGTTAGCATTGCATAACAGTCTGAGTATGTTGACTAGCATCATATTCCAACTCCACTGGCAAAAAACTCCCATGGAGCTGGAGCCAAGGTCTCTTTCCAAAAAGGTCACTTCAACTGCCCGTGGCTCAGCAGCAGCAGCATGGCTCCCCAAAAAGTAAGCCCTTTATCAAATAGCATAGGTGGAGTTTGTAACTCTGAGCAGACAGTGTTTAACTTCTGAAAAAGAGCACGACTGATTCCAGTCCACTTGAAGATAATGCTATCTCCTCTGCCACCTCCCATATGTATATTAGCTGGCTGTGCTGAGGAGGACTCTGAATAGTGCTAGACTTGGAGTCCTTTTTCTGTCTGTATGTCCTGGGCCAGGGCTGTAAGCAGCCCAGCGCCGCCACCCCCATTCTGTCCGAAAGAAAAACAAAGGGGAAGCGACGAAAGGCATTCTCCCTCAGAAGATGTAACGAGGAGTGCCTGCACACTTGTTTTCTGCAAATGACCAAACAGATGATGCAAGGAGAGTCCAGGTCTTCCATCAATATTTGTGGCAGCAAAACAGAGTTAGCAACTATGCTGACTGGTTGAAAAGCCGCCACTGCTGAGGGTTTGGTTTCACTGAGTATTTGGACAGCTGTTTACACAGAGCCGTCAGTATTAAATCTTGTTACTTGTTCTGTCATCTATTATAGAAGAGTGGAACCTACAACAAAACATTGCAGTTTATCCTCACCTCCTTGTAGGAGTGCTCTTGTTCAGGATTCCTGCCAGCCATTTCATTTCATACAAAACATTTCAGATCCACACATTTCCTTGTTTTTCTTTTCCAGCTGACAGGCAATATTGTTTGGCTCTTGAGCACATTCATTTTTCAGTGGACATGTTTCTGTGTGTTTAAGGTTTGTTCTCTTTTAGTTTTGCAAGACATGAGATTTCCCTAAGCATGCTAATACCTTCCTCTTAGTGGCCCCATTTGGCCTACAATCCTGTTGCCACTGGCTACCTGAGATCACTATTAGGAGTGGCAACTAGCCTGTGGAGCCCGGCCTCAGATGTGCAGGATTTAACCAGCGAACATAACGTCTGGGGGGAATTCTGGAAAAATGTCGAGGATTTTGAGGTTGATTACCTAAAAAATGTTCAGCAACTTTGAATTTCATTTTCTAAAAAATGCTCAACAACTTTTGTGTCCTGAATTTTACTTCTAGAAATATGACAGCCCTAAATATAGCAGCGCAGAAATGAGTTACAATCAAGCTTCTCTCATTTGGGGAATGAAACTTCTCAGGTTGAGGATTGGGAAGGCTACTGGGTAAAATTAGATGTATGACAAGAGACAGGAGGCAGCTGTGAACTGCTGGCAATTGATAAAGCAAGAAGACTGGGGAACATTGACTAGAGAACCAAGGCTTGTTAGATCTGGGCTTGAGAATCTGGCAGGGCAATTATGCCAGATGTGTCTTCTGTTGGTGTTGCAACATTGTGATCCTGCAACCCAAAGGGGACAAGAAGGGTCAGAAAAGCAGAGGGGAGAGGTAGGGGTTAATTTCATGGATTGAAATGGAAAGCTGCAGCCTTCAGTAAAATGCAGTAATTTGGTAACTTTTCACAAAAGATAAAGAACACCAGCAGGTGGTGCTAAGAAGTGGCAGCAAGTGTTCAAATAATAATAAAAAAATTGTCCAGTAGCACCTTATAGACCAAGTAAGTTTTTTCTGGTATAAGCTTTTGTGTGCATGCATACTTCTCCAGTTCAGTTTGCCATTTACTCTATATGCTTTAAAAAGCTGCAAGTTATTTTTCAATGTATGTCTTCATAATTTGCTGCATGTACAGAACCACCTGCAGCCAGCTTGCCTAGGGTGGGGAAATTCCCTGTGTTGTCTTTTCAGAGCCAAAGCCATCTATGCCAGCCGCTTCTGGGTGTCATGCAACCCTTTTAGCATTTGGCGGCTCTGCACAGTGTTCCAGGTCTGTTCCCTTCCTGGGCAGGTTTCCCAGTGATGCAGTTCCACTGACATGGGTGGCTTTGCACTAGCTGAATGTTTGGCCCTCTCTCATTTATGTCTGAGTTGGTTCTAAGTGTGGGCTGGATGTGGACAGACTCAGTAAGTCTTTGCTGGAATAGAGAAATAGAGCATTTCTGACACATCCCTGAATTGGCTGTGAGTTACGCAGAACTACTCTTGATGTCCTTCTGAGTACCTTGAGTGGGAAAAATGGGGTCAGAAATGCAGCCTGAGTCTTAACACAAGCTTTTTGCAAATTTGTTCTTAGCTTTTGTTATCTCTAAAATGTTATTAATGAGGAAGATGAGAGTGGCTTATTAAAAACCTGCTTGAACTTTATGTAGCCATTTTACTGCATTTTTAGTATATAAAAACAATTACAACAACAACTCCTCCCTATATGAGCACTTTGCGGCCTTTGCCACCGGAGAGCGTTCCCCAAGTGTTAAACTAAGATTTGAGCATTTCTGATGTTTTATTACAAGTGTTGACATAGCATTATAAAATGCCAGCAAAGCAAAATGTATTTCTCATACCATTACAAGCAATAATTATTTTGGGTTTACTTACAGAAAACCTGTGACCCACTTGCAGGTGGTGACCCACAGCTCGGGAAGTGTTGTGCTAGAGAATAGTACTTGATATTGGAGGGCACTTTCTGACCTCCACGACACACTTTTGGCTTATTATGAGGTCTTCATTTGCAGCCAGCTTTTGAGATGGTTGACTTGGTTTCCCTTCCTTTTCTGTGTCCTTTAACCCAGGCCCCTGACTTGGATTGAAGAAAGGGCACCCGGGATGAAGCGGGACAAGGCCATCAACTTCTGCTTCACAAGCGGGTGCTTGGAGAGTCTTCCCGAGGCCCCCCGCTCACAAGTTGGCATCTTCATGCAAGACCTGATCCTCTTTGCCAAAAAGCTTTTGGGCCAGGCCTCCCAAGAGGAAGTGCTGGCTGAGAAGAGGCGGATTCTGCTGTGTCTCGACCTGGCCGAAGAGATTCAAAGGCTCTGTGAGCGGCCAGCGAACATCTACTCTTGAAACTGCTTGGGAGTCGGGGGCTGGGCTGCTTAGAACTGCTGCTGCTGCTGCTGCTGTTGCTGCTGCTCCTCCTCCTCCGGAAATGGTTCTTTCTTCCATTCCCTTTTAACTTGCCAGACACTCCATTGTGACCAGTAAGACTTTTCTAACAATTCTGGGCCAGTCCAGGTTTCCCATGTCCTTTACAGGTTTGGTTTAACCTGGCAAAAGTGAATAGTGTACCACTTTTGGCTTGCCTTAGTGAAGGAGTTGGCAAAATGTAGCCTTCCAGCCCTTCAGACCTTCTTTTCTTTCCCCAGGACATACCTTCTCCCTGGCCATGTTCCTTCACCCCAGACCACCCCCCTCACTGGCCTGGCTTTGTGCCCTCCATGAGTGCTTTTGCCTGGGTAGAATGTGCTCTTGAAGCCTGGTAATACTTCTTGCTTTGCTTGGGTGGAAGACAAGAGGTGTATGCACATGTGTTGCCTAATGTTCAGAGGTAAAATACATTTATTCGCTTCCTCTACCTTACCTTTGGCCTTGCCCACCACTGGCATGGGTCTCTTCTCTGAAAGCACCTTCTGACAACAGAACTACAGATACAGAAAATGACAGCCCTATGTTGCGTTTTCCTGCCCCAATCTACACAATGTTTAGTTGGACTTAATTTGTGATGTGTCTTCAGCCCACCTGTCTCTTTGGCTGTTGCTGGGAGGGCTGAGGAAAAGATCCTCAAAAATCTTGCTCTGCGTTACTGGAAGCAAGAGAACTTTCTATTTGGCTGCTATTTTCTGTATCATGTTTAGTTCTCACCCATATGAACTAGCTGACAGACAGGTGTATGAGCTGCAGAACTACTTCCATGAACTTATGGCTCAGTTTTAACATGGCTGGAGTTAAAAAATCTGCTCTCCAAGTGGGTTTTACACTTAATTGCCTTATTCTGAATTGAAACTTGAGATTTCAGACCTCATGCTTTGATCCAGCTCCTTTCTGAGACTGGTTCAGTCTTAACCTGCCATAAAGCAAGTGGGTCTACTCTGTTTTTGTGAGGAGAGTGCCTCCACATGGTGGTAGTGATCATAGCAGGCGACCTGCTTGTTCTCAGGCTGTTCTTCTAATATAAATACCAGTTGTCACCATGTAGAGGCATATTTGTGAGAATCACCACACAAAGTGGGTCAGGTTAGTCGTGCGATGCTTCTGCTACATCTTGTATTTGGAGTGGACCTTTGTTATTTTCCTGTCCCTAGAAACGCACAATAAACTCTGCTAATATTCAGTTTTAATTTGAATATATGCGGGGGGGGGGGGAGAGTCTGAGAAGAACATACAAAACCCATTTGAAGTGTTAGAAATGATAGATTCACAGTGACTGCATAACAAGCAATCTCGCCTGGATCTAAAAATTGATTTGCATAACGTAGACCCGAAATTATTTTTGGTTATATACAGTAGCTATAGAAAGTACAAGAAAGAGGTTCATTCTCAAAAGTATGCTGAAAGAAGATTGTATACTGAAATGTCTGAGGATTATGCCTTTCACTTAGCACAGTGCTGTATTATTTCTGCCCATTATAGTCTTGCATCTATTTTGAAACATCAAAGCATCTCAAGTGCTATTGTCAAAATAAGATTTTTGGAAAGTAAATTGTTCTATTTCACTTGGGACTCTCTAAATAAGATGGCATTTCAGGATCCTTTCCGTAGTTCCAATCAATTCAGCCATTTATAACTACTGCTATGTTCTTGTAAACACTGTGACTCGCAGGAGCCTAAATTTATATTCATTTTAAAAATGGAAGAAAACTTCCCAATATTGGGCTTGAAATGCTTGTGGTCACAAGATGGAAATTTGTGTGAACAAGATACTGTTCTGTGTCTCAATAGAATCAGAATTGCATAATTGAGATTCATGAAGTCCAAACCCCTGCAATCCATGAATCCAAACATAGGGTCCCCCATCCAAAATGAAACCATACTATATCCTGCTTAGCTTTTGCAAATGTGCCAGCACTGGGGTATTTTTTTGCTGCATGTGGGTGTTCTGTGGCATTTATTGACTTATCAATAAAACAGCACAGCATCTTTGTGAAGGGAGCAAGGTTGGTTGTTTTGCTTCTGTCAAGTCCCTGTGGGAGCTGATTGTGAGACTGGCATGCAAAGAGACTGGCATGTGCAGAACGAAACTATTTGCACTTGGGAGTACTACACCGAAACTGCCTCTCAGCTGCTTTGCTGAATGGTTTTGGTGCTAGTTTGTCGCTGCCCCTGCCATATTGCTTTGCTTCCGATGAGGGCCAATCCAATGTTATATTGCCTGAAGCAAAACCAACCAACCCAATGGCATCCACTCTCCATTGATTATTATGGGGTACAGTTGCTGGGAAACTCTACTGTGCAATAGCCTTACTGTACCCTCCAGGTTTGATCTGTCTGTCGCCCAAGTCTGCTGCCTTGTGGTAAGGACATCGCTGTTTCTTACTCAAGGGAAAGCCTACCTAAATTGTTGTACATGTGACCCTTAAAAGTACTTTTACTTCAAATTCTGTTGCTGGACTATCACTGGCTCCTCTCTTTACTCATAGAAATGGTCTAGAGGTGTACAGCGAGTGACATGAAAAATTGAGGAGGACCATAGATCTCGGCTGCAACATATTCTGTAATCTTGAAACTCTGTTTTGGAGATAACAGAATTTTCCCTATATGCTGCTGAGCTTACAGTGTTTCGTTCATGCTAGCAGACAGTTCTTTTTTTAATGGCCAAAATTCTATAAATTGCCATTTAGTGTAAACTTTATAGGGCCAAAATTATTATTATTAATTTAATTAATTTCTATACCGCTCTATACCTGAAGGTCTCAGGGCAGTTCACATAAAATGAAAGCCACTGGCCCAAATCAAAGGGAGCTGGGAATTTTCACAATATAGAAATATTTTCCCATTCCCCTGCCCCTCCCAGGGAAGTGAAGAAAGTCGGTTGCTGCCTTGGAGATGTTGTATTACTTACGTGGGAAAGTGTAGCACATTTGAGTTGGATCCAGAGTAAGGCTGAAAATCCTATACCCAGTTACCAGGGAGTAACTATTGAATTTAGTAGGATTCGAGGAAAACATGTATAGGATTACACTGTTCGTTAGTTCAACATGAGTGCCATTTAAATAAGCAGGACAAGTTCATAATGACTTAACTCTTACTGATTTCTATTGGAAGAAAGTTCTGTTAACTCACTCTGGATCCAGCCCCTTGTTTTTTGAAAAAATACTGCAGTTTTTACAAACAAACAAAGGGCCTTTTTATTTTAATTTTTAAGATACAGTATATATAACTGATTTTTTTAAAGAGAGAGAAAGAAAGAAATCACTCACATTCTGTGATTTTCAGAGATGGCACCTAAATGCTACTCATTTAGCAATGCTATCATATGCATGTTCACTCAGAAGTGAGTCGCATTTATCTGGGAGTAAAACCCATTGATTTATGGAGGGCTTATTTCTGTAGATTGCATTGGAAGCAATGCTAGACAAGAGTTAAGTGGAATGTTGTTGCTGCAGTTATCTTTGTCCAGTTTAACTATATTTTATTGCTGATATGAATGGAACTGAAGGAGGCAAATTGTTGGTCATTGTATGCCTTTAGTGGCCGCCTCAGTTTTTTGTTTTCAGAAACGCCTCTGTTTCCTTGGAACCCTTTATGTGATGCACTGAAATGCCTTGATGCATGCCTCAGAAACATGATGTTGTTGATACATTGTGCTATAAAGTATGCTGGTGATTATTGTATGTGCTGCCTTGACTTTAATAAAGACATCTGAGCTCAATTTACTCTTTCATCATTTTGTTTTCCTTCCTTCATTTCTCCTCCCCGCAATCTGGTCATCTGGTGCGTCTTGCTTTAAAAGTGCTAATGCTCTAAATTGCAGGACAATTTTCCTATATCCTTAACGGAGAACCCCACTGACTTAAATCATAGTCCTATGTACCGTGCAATAGTAAACATGGTGTATGTACTGTACCTTTCCCAAGTACCTGTGTCTGACTCTGAAAATACAGGTGTTAATCCTGTTTAGAGAGAGTCTGCATGTTTCATAAGGATCCCGAGATTTACCGTATTTTTCACTCTATTAAGACGTACCCAACCATAAGACGCACCCAGTTTTAGAGGAGGAGAACAAGGAAAAAAAGTACTCTCTCCCTCTCTGCGCAGCGCCTCTCCATCAAAGCAGGAGGAGAAAGGGAAGGGGCTCCGTTTCTCCTCCCGCTTCGCTGAAGGGGCACTATGCAGCTTTCCCTCTCTGCTCAGCACCTCTTCAGCACTGAAGGGGCGCTGCGGAGAGAGGGAAAGCTGTTCAGTGCCTCTCCAGCGAAGCAAAGTCAGAAGAGCAAGAGGGATCGCTGCACAGCAAAAGCAGTGATCCCTCTTGCTCTCCTGGCTTCAGCGATAGCTGCCCGGCCTGCATTCGCTACATAAGACGCAAACACATTTCCCCTTACTTTTTAGGAGGGGAAAGTGCGTCTTATAGAGTGAAAAATACGGTATACTGTTTTATAGGCCAAAACCAGCATCTTGAATTGGGCTTGGAAACAAACTCTGATGCCTCTTGCTTGTCAGGACAGATGAGTATGTATAAAAGGTAGGTTACCTACAAGCGTAAAATTTTTGTCTTTTGTCCTGTTTGCCACTGGCTTGTCTCCCCTAGAAGGGAATGTTCCTCAGTCCATCCCATTCTCTATGCCTTAATTAATATATAGGATTCTTCCTGTTCCTCCACTTTTCTCTTCATTTAGACTCAAAACAGTAGGAAAATAATATACATGGGTGGTAGTCAACTAAATTTTACTCAGAGTAGGCCTGCTGAAATTAATGGACCTAATTCAGTCATGTTCATTAATTTTAATGAGCCTGTTCTGAATAAAGTTTCCTGAATACCATCCAATAAGTGTGGGATGTAATCCATTGGTGCAGTCAAATGCAACGTGTCTCATTTCCCTCGCGTGGGCACAGGCAGGGGAACATCC